CTAATGTTTTTGACATCGTTTGGGGTATGTACTCCTTTTGTTTTCTTGTCTGAAATGCAGCCAATGGCGGCAGATATTTTGCTTGTACCAACTAGTTTATCTAATTGTTCAACTTCCTCATTACTTCGCACTTCTGTTTTGGATGTCTAGTTTGGAGAGCCTTCCCTTCAGTGAAAAATTCGTCTAATAGGTTTTGCTTCCACAAAATTAAACGGCTACTCAAAGTTTTGAAATTGGATTCATTTGTTTCTGACTTAATTTTGAAGAGCAGCAAAAGAGCGTTTGAGGAGCGTTAGAACTTGATGTTTCTCCTACTAATGATAACATAAACTGGTTCATCGTCTCGATAATTTGGAAACCGGACTTGTTCTTGCTTAGAACTATAAAACGCGGTTTCCAAATATCGAAACTTTTTTGTACGTCTTTTATTTAATTCTTAAATTTTGTTCGATGAGTTTCTAGGGGTCAGAGTGGTTGTAATGACTGCTGGGGGCGATGATTAGATTGTATTGCGTTGAGCAGTACGTTTGTTTTGGGTGTTGCCTGTGATATTTCTTTTTGCGTTGTGATGGGGGCTGCGATTGGTGATCTGTTGCTAGAGTGGGACTCTTTTGCAAAGTTATTGGACGTGAAATGTATGCAGGAGAACCCATCGTAGTAAGACTTGCTGCTCTTCAGCCCGCTAAATGAGATGTGGATGTACGTTTTGCAAATGACACACCAAATGCCTCCCTTTCGGAGGTGGCCTATGCAAATATGGCAAAGCGTTTGATAAGCCATAATTTGGCAACGAGGAGGGTAAATTTAAGGTTAAAACACAAGTTACCTGAGCGAGCATCAAGTTGAAAATGTTTTTTACCATAGAGTGAAAACTTATTACTATCTTTATAATACACTTTACCAATAAATTTAACTTTTTTTATGAGGAATATGATTCGGATTCTTGAGTGATAAATTGCATTTATAAGGGGAAACAAATAATTATTTGGAGCGCCAAATTTTCTTGAGGTTCTTGTTATCAGTTTCCTGCTCCACTTGGCTAGCCGCTTCGGCCTGTCCTTGGGCACGGACATTCACTAAACAGGGTACAAAAAAGGCAAACAAGAGAAAGAATAGATTGTAAAAGAAGAAAAAAATTGATTTTAAAAACAAATATCAAAAGATATGAAAGCGATTACAACCTGGTTTGTCAGGGGTGGAGATTCCGGCGGGGTGTCGGATAGAGGGGTAGTATTGTAGCTTGAGGAGCTTGCCTCTGAAATCACGTCCCGGGCCTTTTTCTTACAAGCGTACCATTATTGTCATATCACAAACTTTATGCTGCGTCAAGGTTTTACCTTTATGCTTCGTCAAGATGAGGAAAAACAACAAAGAGTGTACAAGCAATTATTGCCTAAATTCTTCAGGAATAATAAATTGGATTGGATAAGATTGTTGTTCTAGTTGGTATCATATCAGTTGTGTAAATATTTCTCATAGCGACTCTATGAAAGCCCAACGGTTTCAATGTCCTTTATGCATCGATGTAAAATCTGTTAATAAACCTACAATAGGTAATGATTTAATGCTAGACAGTTATGTTAATACAACCGTCTCAAATTTCCGAGAAATCAAGAGAGTACCGAAAGACTCGCGTGTTCCTATGGCGGAAAGTCTGTCGGACAAAGTAAATGACATCTTCTACATTGTAGAAGATGTTACAAAATGGCTAATTTTTTAAACGTCGTTGTTATTTTTTTGGAGCAACCGAAAAGAAGTGGACGCAAACAGGCCACAATCATGAGCTCTTTGATAAATAAAAAAATTCGAGCAAATGACGTGTCACTTCCAAAACCCCATCCCTAAGTTTCAAGCCCGGCGCTGAGTGACCTCGAGCAGAGAAAAAAATTAATAACTTGTAGGCTCGATGAAGGAAATATAAAGGGAGGGATAAGGCCTGCTGCTTCAGATGACAAAATTGCTCCTTTTTCAACTGATAACTATCAAAATCTCTTGTCTAAGCACCCTCAGCGAGCCAAATTTTGCAGCTCCAAATCCATAAATTGTAGATAGTTTTTTCGTAACCGAATTCGATCAATACAAAGCGATAAGGTGCTTTCCGAATGGATCAGCAGCAGGTCCTGATATAATAGTTCCTTTAACTTTTAAAGATCTTGTTAGTAAGTCGAATGGCAGTGCAGGACCTAATTTTCTGAAATCGCTTTCTAAGCCTCATTGGAGACGGCAAAATACCAGAACCCCTAAGACCCTTCTTTTTTGGCGCAAAGCTTATCGCCCTCATGAAGATAGACCGAGGGTTGAGACTGATTGCCATAGGCAACACGCTGAGACGTATCGCATCTAAATGCGCTGGAAGCAAGGCCTTCTTCGAGCGACAAAACTTTTTCGGAAAGGTACAACTAGGATGCGGTACCAAACAAGGAGCAAAAATAGCTGCACACTCGTTTCGAAACCTAATTGAACGCGAAGACGATACAAAATACACTGTTTTTTTCAACTAGATTTTAAGAATGCCTTGAACTCCCTAAATAGAGAAACAATGCTGAATCATATTTTTTCAAATCGCACCGAATTGTTTAACTACACCCATTGCGCGTATAGTTAGCCTAGTTACCTTTATTACAGAAGCTCTGTTACAATGTCAGAAGACGGAGCTCAGCAAGGTGATCCTGAAGCCCCACCCCTTTTTGCGGAAACAATTCAGACACTAGTCAAACATTTGGAGTAGAAAATTAACATCTGGTATTAAGATGATAGAATTTTAGCCGACGACTATAAGGTAGTACTCCGGAACCTTAAAATTCTGAAATTGGAGCAGATTTACGGCCTGAGCTTGAACACTGAGAAGTGCCAACTTAGTTTTTTGGGACCGACTACCAGTAAACAGTATAAATCAATTAACACAATTTCGAAAGTATGCCCCAAAATAAAAAAAAAACAAAAGAAAAACTGCTCATTTTAGGATCTCCAATCGGCAAATTTGCTGAAAAGAATTGCTCGACGAAAAAATTAAGCAGCTTGAAAAAATCTCGGATGTCATTGACAAATTAGACGTCCATTATAACTTTTATTTCCTAAAAAATTGCTTTAGCATGCCAAAACGCTAGATTTTTTTGCGTACGAGCCCTTAATTTCTACAAAATGATTTTTTTGGAACGCTACGACAAATTACTAAGAAAATCATTATGCAAGGTCACTAATGTGAAAATGGATGATAATCAATTTTTGCAAGCAGGTCTCCCGGCAGCCAAAGAGGGCTTGGGCGTTTTTTCCGCTCGTCTAAAAGCTTCACACGCTTTCTTAGTCTCAGTAGTTTTATAATAGTACGTCTCGATGTTTAAAATTTAAACGAATTTCCTATCATTTATTTTCCATTAAAGTGGTTTATGTCAAAATCAACAACCTTTGTTTAACCGCATTATTTTTGATGTCATTCAAAAATTTAAAGGTCATAAGTCAATATTGAATCTCTCCTTTCTCGAATATAGCAATCACAATTGCGTTTAGAGTCTTTTGGTTCTGAATAATCATGTCGGAAAATTGACCAATCACAAACGAGTGTTTCAACAAGCAGTGGGCGCGAAAAAAGCGTAAAGTGAAATCTTTGGTTTGGAGCATGTGGATCGAAACTATGATGATGCGCTCAAACGGTGGTTTAAATTTGGAAAATTTGAAATGGCTCCGGAAAATGAAATCCAAAAAGAACTGGACAGAGCCTATTTTTGACGACGAAATGGCAGACTTGAATATACGACTCGAACCAACGTAGGTAAAAAGATTCAACGCGTTCCTGGATAGATGAACGTCAACCAGTGCAGAAATTTAAGGTTAAAACTGTCGATCCGATAACTCTGAATGGCAATAGAATTTCGATAAGGCTCAAAAATATGCGAACGACATAAATGGGGCTAGGTCTTTTACCAGACCGACCTTTTATCAGACCGACCTTTTACCAAACCACAATGCAATTATTCAATCAAGATAAGTTTAAATTAGTGGAAGATTTGAAAAGGAAGCGGCTGGAACAAACAACTCTTGGTTGAGAAACCGTGAAATTATTGTCTTTAACCAGACTAAACGGCGTCATTACATATGGCAATCAAATTTATTTATCGAGTCTGGTTATATCTTTTCTGGTAAAAGGTCGGTCTGGTAAAAGGTCGGTCCACGACTTAAATGCGTGTTCGGAAAAGACGTTACCGAAGATGGTTGGCATGGTCTTCCTTGCCTCCAAAGTGCAGGGACATTCTCTAGGCATCCAAACCTGAATGCCCTTATAATTTTATCTTCTACTCCAGAGTTTATCTTCTACTCCTGAATGCCCAGAGTTTATATTCTACTCACAGTCCGTCTGTTTTAGAACCACGACACCTCTACAGGACCGATCAGAAGCGACCAGACGGTTTGACGCTCGTTCCATTGGCTGTTGGTAAGCAGCTCTTGTGGGATGTAACGGTGGTAGACTCCTTAGCTCCTAGTAGGTTAAGTGCCGGGTCTGTTTGTAACCCTGGTACGGCTCCCGCTGAAGAGGAAGAGCAAAAAAATGACAAGTATAAAGATCTAGTAGATGATGGGTATCTTTTTCAACCGCTAGCTTTTGAAATTCAGGGCGCGGCCGGCCGCAGCACAGTGTTTTTTTTCACCAAACTTTGTAAGAACCGAAGCATATGCACTGAGGAACCCAGAGCAGGCAGCTTTTTAAAACAGAGAATCTCCCTGGCAATACAGATTGCGAACGCCGCTTGCTCACTCGGAACAATAAATGACAAAATAACTTTCGGCGAAATTTTTTGTTTGTAACACTTGTATGTTTTTTTTATCTCGTGTCGATTTGCGTGTTCTTATTGAAGAAACGTAACCCGTATCGATTTTAATTGTAAGGATATCAACACTTGTCATCTTCTTTTATCATTATCACTTCCTTATCTAGAAAATTCTCAGGATTTTGACTGGAATACGCGATGAAGGTCTCCTGACTGTACCCTCGGTTACCAAGATACATTTAATAAGTTTATCACAACAATTAGGTTAAAGTAGAAATTAGACTGAGGTAGAATTGAGAAATGTAGGTTCTCTTATAGGTAGAAATGAATTGAAATGAAAGCAACTGCTGCACCACATAAAGCTCACGATGCACAAGATTTGGCTAAGGAGAATGCAAAGCTATCGAAAGATGTGATAAAAATGGAAATCGACTTAGGGGACCAGAGAAAGGTTGAACCTCGGTAAGTGTCAGTTTTTGTTCCGACCACTGACTACAGCCAGCTAGTAGGCTTAAAATTGCTGGTTAAGTGTTAAGTTAAGGTGTGAAAACTGATTTTAACAAAAAATTTTTTCCTTGGGTATAGAAAAATTATTTAAATATTTTTGTATTGTTTTTTGATGAAAAATTTTAAATTGTTTTTTTTTGCCAAATTTACTATTCCTATAAAGCATGCCAAAATTTGAGGCTTTCGATCAAATCTTTGCATCTCACCATGGACAATAAACTACTCGATTTAACATAAAAGAACAAACAGCTTCAATTTTTTTATTGCTGTAGTCGTCCTCACTTGCGCAGTGAACGGCGATCCTTGTTTCAATGCACGCCTTAACAAGAATCAGAGCTTCTTAAATGTAAAAAACTTTCTACAAATTTTTCTTTTGTGAGAAGAAGCGGTCTGATTTTTTAACATATTTGTTATTAGTCTTGTGATCAGGACTCTTCTGGACTCATCTCTACTGGTATCTTGATTCATATTTTATTCAAATTTGTTAGCGTTACCGGCCAACTCAGCCTGAAGGTAACGAATACACTTGGGACGGCAAAGGTCCTTGGTTCGAATGTAACCAGGATAAATGTTTTTCAAATGGGAAGAATTCTGTTTCAATTAAAAATATCGGCAAATCATTTTTCTGCGTATCTTTTGTCGGCTTAGTTATCAAATCTTGGAATGTTGTTGTAGTAGCTACGCCCAACGCCATCGTCTGCGGAATTTTGTGGGGTAGCTTCGTTTTGATTTGGTTCTTGGTTGCCATTGCTTTCCAGTATTTCATCTGTTGTTGCTGTTGTATTGAGTTTCGAGTAAACTGGAGGGCAATTTCATCCCGTTTTCATGCGTTAGAAGAGTGTCCATATAGTTCGAAAACTATCACAGCACAGCTGCCATAAGCACATAGTTTTGCTTGAAAATCGTTCGTAGACGTATCTCCACGTACGAGCTAAAATTCGTTTTTTGAGGCCTGTAGAACTTCGATAATCTACGTGTACGTCAATTCGGTTTGCGATGCTTGCTGTCCGAGAAATGAATTTGTGTCTGGTTTTCTCGAGTCGTGTTTTCTTTTGGTTGTACCATTATTGAACAGAATTTGATGTTGTGTTCGCTTTGATCTTGGCATAGTTTTTACAAGAGCAGTAAGTCATTCATTGTATGAGAGTATGAGTGGTAGGAGTAGCAGCAGGCCCAGCTGGTCCGTGTAATTGGAAATGGAGGTTCACTAAGATCCATTTAATAGTCCTCTTTTGCAACGATTCGAGTTTTTTCAAGTCTTTTCTTGCGGGGGCTGAGCAGTGTGTTCCGTAGAGTAGTATTGGCAGTAGAATATACTTGCACAGTCCTAGTTTTACGAAAGTGCTTGGTTTGTAGGCTACGTAGGCAGTAGAGAAATCTGTTCGTTTTTTAAGGCGTTCATTTATGTGAGTACTCCTATTCAGGTTTTGGCTGACATAAACTCCTAGGTATTTTACATCTGTTTTTTTTTTTGGTCAAGTGTGATTCCATTTAGAATCAAATTGTTCAAATTTTCTCGAAATTTAATTTATGCGCATTTGTCTTTTGCTAATTGAATATCGTCTTCATTAACCCAATTTTCAATTTCCTTTAAGCCGCACTGAACTTCATGGTTTGTTTTGTTGATGGCCAGGATTTTCTGATCTTCTGCGAGCATGAAAGGGTCACTGAACCTGAGTACATCGGGCAGATCATTTATAAAGATGCAGAACAACAGGGGCCCCAAAAGTGACCCCCTGAGGGACTCCACTAGTTATTTCTCGTTCGAAAGGCGCAGTGAATCCGATACGAACAAATTGTTTGCGTTTGTGCAAGTAATCATATAGATTTTACAGAAATCAACTTTTTACACCAATATTGTTTAATTTTTCTAGGAAGAGTTTGTGTAGTACTCTGTCGAGAGCTTTTGAAAAATCAGCATAGAAAGCAACTACTTACGATTTGGGATCTTGGTCGAGTGCTGAATGAATACTGTTCAGAAGTTGTAGAATGTTGATTTTTCGTTAGAAACATCCTGAAGTGTTCGTACAAAGGATTATAACACATTTAAAAATTTCACTTTCATTGCAAAAAAGTGAAATCGGGCGATAGCTCTCCCAATTCCTGGGACCACCCTTCTTGAATACTGGTGGTACTGCTGCAGTTTTTCAAGTTGCTTGGAGCTTGCGCAGGCGCTTCGTTTGTAAATAGTTTGATCAGACTTATGCACATTTGACTTCTGGTTTGATAGAATAACGTAGGCGGCAAGCCTTTTGGTCCCAGCGTTTTGGTCGTATCGATATAATCAAGGAGACTTTTGACTACATTAATAGAGAAAGATTACTTAGAGTCGGTGAGTTAACGTCAAGTGTGTTCGCCAAATCATTTATGTGAAAGCTTTCTTTGGGTTATAAAACAGTATTAAAAAATTCGTTGAATATGTTTGCCTTTTCTAGGGGAGTTGCTGCTGTGTCGATGCTATGTTTCCATTGTAGCGAAGAGTTGCTGGAATGTTGCGAAGAGCGGATCGGTTGATATGTTTAAAATAGTTATGTATGCTCTCCGTGTTTCTTGATCCAAAGACTAAATTTGATAACATATCCTGTCTTCCTATCAAATTTCATTTAGTTTTAATTGTTTTGCAGTGATAGATTTTATCCAGGGTGGAAGTGATTGCCTGAATTTTGTTCTTTGGTACTTGAGCATCGATTAAAGAGTAGTGATACTCCTGAAGCTCATTGTACATGTTGTCTATGTTTGTGTAGAAGTTGGGTTAGAAACTGTTTTTGTCCATGCTTACCAAGCTAGCGTTGTAGTCACCAGAAGTATAGCTGTCGAATTTTCCCTTTGTTAAAGTGACTTCAAGGAATTTCAGTTCAAGGTTAGATCTTACGGAGAAGTGGTCTGAACAGTCAAATATCTTGTCAAAGTCATCGTCGCGAGTAGAGAAGACAGTGCAATTTTGGTAGAGTAGAACATCTAAAGTGTTCATGCCACGCGTTGGAAATTCTACACTTTGCTGAAACATTATATCTTCGAAAACATCTTAATGGCTTTATTGCATGGGATTTTTAAATTTTTTTCAAAATCCTCGGTTTTGTATCGATAGCGCCTGGCAGATGGTGGATCGTAGGAAGAAAATAATTATAGTTCTTTGTTGACTAGATTAATGTTGCAAAACAGGCAGCTATCTACGTCAATTTCAGCGTCTCAGAGTTTATACTATTTTGAATGGCAATTTTGACACCACCATGGGGATTGTGAGAGGTTTCTTGTTTTCGGTCAGATCGTATAATAGTGTAGTCTTGTAAAAAAAAATCTGAGTTAAGAACATTGTCGTTTAGCCATGTTTCACAGATACGTACTAAATTGTAACAAATAGTTTGTAAAGCCGTAGCGAGTTTAAAGCGTCTCTGGTAGTCTATAAGACTTTGCGCATTTAGCTGTAGTATCTGTAGACTATATAGTCAAACATTTGAGGCGGTCTCGTCAGAGATTGCTACCTTGACCCTGTCGTTGTATGACTCAAATTTCCGTATTGTCAATTTCCCTTCATCTATGAGTTCGTTTTCATTGTTTTAGACATATTTTTTTCTTTGAATCCTCAAGTGAGAGAGCTGGGATAGGAAAATATTCATCTCTTTCAGTTTCCCCCTATGGTCAGTACTTTTGGCCAAAATTAGCTTGGCAGCTGTTCGGTTTTGAAGGGTCACGAGTAAGTTCTTCGGATTCTTTTTAAACCGTTGTATTTTCCCAATCTCCTAGTTCAATGATTTCAGGTTCAACTCCAACGATTTTCATCACGTCTGCAATTTTTTCTTATGTTGGGACAAGATTTTGTTCCCGCGTTTTGTCTGGATCTTCGTCCATCCCTTGTAGTCTGACAGTTGTCAGAATGTTTATTTCAAGACAGGGTTTGAGATGTAAACTCAGGCTGTTTTTACTCCCTGAGTTTTTACACCCTAAGGATACCAGGGATAGTTGGAACAAGGACGCGTCCTGTTAGTCGGCTCCTCACGTTGGGATACCTGTTGAGGGCACTGTCCAGTGAACTAGCTCCAATGATAACATTTATAGCGGCCACTACTGCTGCCCGGAATTCAAATTCTATCTGAAACTGTTTAATTTGTTCTATTTGAAGCTATTCTGGAATTCTATCTGAAATTTCTTGATCTCCGTAGGAGATGAAGGTTGATTAGGTTTCCGCTAGTCCCTGCACAGTGCCCTGGTCCCCGGCAGAAGAGTTTTTCTGGTGTTTCTATGCAGCAGGTTCACGACGGTGCAACAGCGCGGTCTCAAGACCTACGTATCCTACAAAAAACGCCCATGTCTGCGGGTTTTTGACACGGGAGCACCTGGATCCAGCACGCTTGCAACCAAATATTGACCCAACTCTGATGACTTCAAATTCGAAGCTTAAGAGCCAAATCACGCCATACCTAGAATCTGGCTAAACAGTAGAAATTTGAAACTCTGCCGACAAGTCATCATCAACGATCTTTACAACTTGGGCAAAGAAATTATCATATGTTTTCAAGCTTGAAGTTAACATAGCTTCTAATTTGCTTAAGTCAAAATCCAAACTGCTGGGCGTGGTCTTTGACGGCCTACTTAGTTTCAACGAACACGTCAAAACCTCAGAACACGTCAATGAACGCGTGGAACAATAACTGGTTATGTGAAGATGACAAATTTTGATGATCTTCAGAGGGAAACAAAAATATTGCCTGTAAATACTCACACAGAGATGCTGGCAAAACAATTTCTGACACCATTCCGACTATCCGAATGCGGGCACCGTTCCGACTATCAGACTACCCAGCATCCAGTTAAATGATTCATCAAACCGACACTCCGCACCAACTAAGGTGTTGAAACCCAACAACATCTGAATGAGGGCTGAATAATTCGTAAAAACTATCGGAAAGCTTATCCGTCACAACGAGGTTGAAAACTACCTAAAACCTTCAAAGCTATTGGAAGATATACCGTCTCAAATATCTGACAGTGAATCTGAATTACCATGGATAGCGCGCATACGGCTCGCTCAACTTCGCTCCGGGTACAGTCCGCTCACTAACTCATACCTAAGCCGTATAAAAAGTGAGGTACAGAACTCCTGTCCAGACTGTAATGAGACGCCGCAGGACGTCCATTATATTAACTGCACCCGAAACTCAAATATTCTGACTACTCTAGACCTCTGGCTTCATCTCCTCGAAGTTACTGAAGTCCTCAGACTTACATCTCGAGGGATTGGGAGAGCTGAACTCCCTTTAAGAATTAAGTCTCAGTCAAATAACGACTAACATGCTGACTTCTAAACCGCACACATCGACAAAGGCCAAGAGCTGACTTCGAAATATGGATCATCAATATCTAAACGAGGCCAGCGCTTAAATGGTTTTCATGTAACCACACATGTGACTTTTCATTTTTTTTTTCGTTTCAATTCATTTTTTTTTTCGTTTTGGATTTTTTTTTCACATGGGGAATATGTGACCCATATTCAATTTTCGTCTTTTTCGTTTCTTCAAACACTCTTTCTCTCAAGTTTTTGGTTTCAATGAATAGAACGGGTTTGAAAAACTCTCCTGAATTAGCGGCCATGCCCATATTTTTTAAACAAAGTTAGGGCCCTCGGAGTCGTCAATTTTTTTTTTGGCCGTTTTTTGAATCTTTGACTGTTGTCGAAAACTTACCCCTCATATCTAAGTTTTTTTGGCACAAGGAAGCTAGCGGGTTTTGGGAAGATCCCTGCATTAGCGGTCACTCACAAAGTTGTTTTACACTAAAAGTTATCGCCCGCTAAAAATTAAGTCTGACATTTTCGAGAATCATAGCTTTTTGTGCAAAAAATAAGGTCGCTGCCGCTAATGCAGAATAGGTTCACGCATCCTGTATTTTCGATTGAACCCAAAATATCACATTTGGGTTCAATCGAAAATACAGGTTGCGTGAATTTCTTCTACATAAGCAGCTGCGACCTAATTTTGCACAAAAAGCTATGATTTATTGACCGCTTTTTGGACTTTTCTCGCTAACTCCTTAATTTGGATATGATAAGTTCCGTTGTAGTTGCTGTTTATGCTTTCATTCACTGCTGCAATTTGTTATTCTACTAGCTTCGATTTCGTATATTCTCTTTTTTTTTCGCTGAAAACTTTTTTGGCCTAAATGATTTTATCTATCTGAAACTTCTTGATCTCTGTAGGAGATGAAGGTTGATTAGGTTTCCGTTAGTCCCTGCACAGTGCCCTGGTCCCCAGCAGAAGAGTTTCTGTGGTGTTTCTATGCAGCAGGGTCACGACGGTGCAACAGCCCGGTCTCAAGACCCACCTATCCTGCAAAAAACGCCCATGTGTGTGCGTTTTTGACACGGGAGCACCTGGATCCAGCACGCTTGCAACCAAATATTGACCCAACTCTGATGACTACAAATTCGAAGCTTATGAGCTAAATCACACCATACCTAGAATCTGGCTAAACAATAGAAGTTTGAAACTCTCTGCCGACAAGTCATCATCAACGATCTTTACAACTTGGGCAAAGAAATTATCATACGTTTTCAAGCTTGAAGTTAACATAGCTTCTAATTTGCTCAAGTCAAAATCCAAACTGCTGGGCGTGGTCTTTGACGGCCTACTTAGTTTCAACGAACAAGTCAAAACCTCAAAACACGTCAATGAACGCGTGAAACAATAACTGGTTATGTGAAGATGACAAATATTGATGATCTTCAGAGGGAAACAATAGTATTGCCTGTAAATACTCACACAGAGATGCTGGCAAAACAATTTCTGACAACATTCCGACCCATCCGAATGCTGGCACCGTTCCGACTATCAGACTACCCAGCATCCAGTTGAACGATTCATCAAACCGACACTCCGCACCAACTAAGGTGTTGAAACCCAACAACATCTGAATGAGGGCTGAATAATTCGTAAAAACTATCGGAAAGCTTATCCGTCACAACGAGGTTGAAAACTACCTAAAACCTTCAAAGCTATTGGAACGTATACCGCCTCAAATATCTCACAGTGAATCTTAATTACCATGGATAGCGCGCATACGGCTTGCTCAACTTCGCTCCGGGTACAGTCCGCTCACTAACTCATACCTAAGCCGTATAAAAAGTGAGGTACTTAACTCCTGTCCAGACTGTAATGAGACGCCGCAGGACGTCTATTAAATTAACTGCACCCGAAACTCAACTGGCCTGCCTACTGAAGACCTCTGGCTTCATCCCCTCGAAGTTACTGAAGTCCTCAGACTTACATCTTGAGGGATTGGGAGAGCTGAACTCCCTTTAAGAATTAAGTCTCAGTCAAATAACGACTAACATGCTGACTTCTAAACCGCACACATCGACAAAGGGCAAGAGCTGACTTCGAAATATGGACCATCAATATCTAAACAAGGCCAGCGCTCAAATGGTTTTCATGTAACCACACATGTGACATTTCATTTTTTTTTTCGTTTCATTTCATTTTTTTTCGTTTTGGATTTTTTTTCACATGGGGAATATGTGACCCATATTCAATTGTCTTTTTCGTTTCTTCAAACACTCTTTCTCTCAAGTTTTTGGTTTCAATGAATAGAACGGGTTTGAAAAGCTCTCCTGAATTAGCGCCCATGCCCAAATTTTTTAAACAAAGTTATGGCCCTCGGAGTCGTCAAGTTTTTGATTTTTTGGCCGTTTTTTGAATCTTTTACTGTTGTCGAAAACTTACCCCTTATATCTGAGATTTTGGGCACAATGAAGCTAGCGGGTTTTGGGAAGATCCCTGCATTAGCGGTCACTCACAAACTTGTTTTACACTAAAAGTTATCGCCCGCGGAAAAATTAAGTCTGATTTTTTCGAGAATCATAGCTTTTTGTGCAAAAAATAAGGTCGCTGCCGCTAATGCAGAATAGGTTCACGCATCCTGTATTTTCGATTGAACCCAAAATATCACATTTGGGTTCAATCGAAAATACAGGTTGCGTGAATTTCTTCTACATAAGCAGCTGCGACCTAATTTTGCACAAAAAGCTATGATTTGTTGACCGCTTTTTGGACTTTTCTCGCTAACTCCTTAATTTGGATATGATAAGTTCCGTTGTAGTTGCTGTTTATGCTTTCATTCACTGCTGCAATTTGTTATTCTACTAGCCTCGACATCGTATATTCGCTTTTTTTTCCGCTGAAAACTTTTTTTGGCCTAAATGATTTTGGCTTTATCCTTATACTTTATCGGCTTACTGACCTAATTTTTTTCGTTAAAAGAACCATAATTTGCATGCTTCCTCCGGATCGCACGAAACTTTAAAAATTTCATCATAGATTTTTTAGTTCAAAATTTTTCATAAGAACAATTTTATTTTCGCTCGATAATTGTTTTTGAATTTTCAATAAATGCTATCGAATGTGTTACTGGACGTGTTTTGGGAGATTTCCGGCTTATGTGCTTCATTACTTTTCTCTTGTGCTGCAAGCAACTTTTCTTGTAGTTGCAACTGCAAGTTTTGTTCATTGTAGTCTCAGGTGGGACTTAAAACTTAAAAGATTTTGTATATAATCATTTTTTTTTCGTATGAACTTGTCTGCTCCAAGATTGTCGGACTTTGCTGAATCTTTGTTACTTATGTTCTGTTGCTAATTTAATATTCAAATTTCTGGGATTTTTGACGGAAATTAATTTATATCGAGAAATTTAAATTTTTGGTAGACCTTAATTTTAAGTTTTTTCATTACATGTTTTTGTTGCATCGCTCTGTGTATATCGATGTTTTTGTGCTCTGGTCGTGTTTGTAGTTATTTTTATACTCTCACGGTGTATGTCTTATTCTTATATATTTTTAAGAATAAAATTAAGCTTTTCATTTTTAAACTGTGCATCCATGTATGTAAAACATTACAAATACCATAACCATAATAAAACTCTTCTCAGGCTTTTTTCGAAGAAGTAGATTTTTAACGACAACTCATCACGATGCTTTCAATGTTGGCTAAAATTGGTGATTTTCGGTTGTTTTGTAGATGTAATTATAGCGTTGGTATGGCCCATCCAATCTATGCGCTCATGTCGTATGACAGAAGGGCATTAACCATCGTATTTTCTTGGCACTAAACTTTATTTCGGAAGGGCATTAAAGTTTTTTTTATGAAGTGTTATTAATGTTTCAGTGCACCGAGAGGAAAGTGGACATCAGGAAAACCTGGTAAACTCAATGGTTTCAAGAGCAGCAAAGATCTCCAGAGGTCAGTTCATACGAAAGAAATATCCTTCAGTGGGTTGGTTGCAGGAGATAACATGAACATGACTAGTCAGGATTTTGATGCTCTTCAAACAGTGGGCGAGGAGAACAATTTCGATAACTACAAAGCTTTTCCCGTGAAGGAGCGCCTGTCTAAAATGAAGCAAACTCTTCAGCAGAGAGAATCTGTTCCCATAATTGAAAGTGACCTTGAGGATTTGAAATGCAACCCTGAGTCACCAGTCAAACGATTAACTGTTAACAAGACTCAGGATGCCAAAATGCAAAAATTTAAGAGGGAGTATAAGTCCATAAAAGACGAAGAGCGGAAGTCACTAATTGACTATGAAAGAGAAGAGCAGAAAAAAGAAAAGCAAACAGCCTCAGTGGTGAATATAAGCGTCCCAGAACCAGCATCAAAGCCAGCTGCAGAAACTAACAATGCAGTTGTGGCTGGGAAATCGAAGAAAACTACGTCTACGGTAAATGCGAAACAAAACAGGGCTAACCTTCCAGATGAAGCCAATTCTTGCGTCATTCTGCCACCTCACAATTCAGCCAATGTCTCCAATCTAGATTATCTGAAGAAACACAGAAGAAAGACACGCCCCAATAACTCACCTGTGAAACGAGTCAAAGAGGACGACGAATCATCACTTGTTATTGGTCCGAGTCGAGACAAGCCAGAAATTAATGCGCTGAAACCACTGCCGGTGAAGGAAAGCACCAAGTACGCTTATGATGCATCTCTGAGTGAATGGCTAGCTGGCTTGAACCTCAAAGACATTGAAAGGGTTAAGGACATTTTCTTCTCAAATAACGTTTCTTTGATGAAAATGCCGATTTTAACTGCCAAGGATCTGAATCGCTTTGGATTCAAACAGTCAGATCCAGATTTTGTCAAAATTCTGCGAGGATTAATTGAATTGAAAGAAGACTACACTAAGCATCCTGAGAAATACAAACTTTCAATGCAGCGCTCTAAAGAGCCCAAACGAACTAAAAAATCTACAAATACTCAAAGAAGATTATCCAATGAGTTACAAATAGAGCAAGATGAGAATTCACTCCAGAAAAAAGAGTCAACGAAAGACTCAAGCGAAGTTCTGCTTCCAAGAATATCGAATCCACAAGCGGCCTCTGTTGATTCGAACAGTGAATTGAGATTGTCCGATTCGAATGTTTCGACATCGCAACATCTTCCGCTTGAAAGAGTTGGATCGGGATCTTTAGTTAACCACAACATCGAAATGCAACAAATGGAAGAAAGTGAGTATTGAAATTTTAAAATATTCGATGAGCAACTACGTAAAAATTTATTCGTATCTGGATAAAGGGCCACAACAAATAAATTTCTGGCTTTGTTTTGGGTTAGCAGCAATATAAGCGCAATTATTTTTCAGATGTCAAGAATCCAAACGAAAAGATTGCGTGAAAAACTTGTTACGATCACTTCACTAAGTGGGCGTAGAGTGGGTTCCGCACTATTCTACAGAAATCTCGTAGCTAATAACTCATCTTTAACATAATCTTTGATGTGAATAATTTTGGCCTGTGTTTTGTAGGTATTCTGAACGATATGAAGCCATTCGAGAACTTCCCCGAAGACTTGAATAAAAGTCGTGAACTGCAGAATGAAGAAATGGAACCTACATTGCAAGATATAAAGGAGGATGCGCTATTGAGTATTTCCTTCACCGAAAAGCAAGACGAAGACGTGGGAAACGAGCTGGAAAACGAAGAACTGAGCTCACGCAAAATATCGAATGGAATGTTTGGGCCTCTTTACAACAAGGACCCGGCTAAGTTGTCCAAAATTCTGTCTTCCGATTTGGCGCGAAAGGACGCTTTGACGGGTGAGAGAGTATTGCAGTATTTTGAAATCAATTTAGAATTAGAACGCGATTCGATGAATAGACACAGTTTCAGTTGGCTTTCGGTCTATCGTGTAAACTTTCATATTGAAATAGACTGATTGCTGGGTACTGAAATCTCTTTGAAATCTTCTTCCCATTGAGTCATACAGAGATTAAAGGAAAATTTGGCAATATTGAGTGGGAAAAAACCTGAGCAAGATTCCCAGATCTGAGCAAGATTCCCAGCTGAAAAGATCTGAGCAAGATTCCCAGCTGAAACTGGAATATAATCCGATCATTGCCTTAATCACCTGGAGCGCAAATGTTTCCTAAACTTGGGTCTGCATACTTGTACAGTGCTGTGTTTCAGCGGTTGAACATGCGACGAAACAGTGGGAGAAAAGGAAAAAGGAGCAGGAGGAGGAATTGGAACGAGCAGAGAGGCTGGAGAGGCAGAAGCGACAGGAGAGAGACAGGATGGCTGCGAGATACAGACGCAAAACGCACCAGCAGATCATAAGTAGTAATGTGCAACAGTCAGACGGGGAACAACAGGTGCAAGGAAACAACGCCGCCAACGCATCTCCGGAACGACAAACGGCGAATGTGCAAACGACGATCAACACACTGGACCGTTGGTATTTTACTCTGAAAGTTATAATTTCAATTGAGAGATCAAGTGGCTTGTAAGCGGGTATTAGTGTTTCTTCATTGAACCAATTTTATAAATTCAAGAAATGCGTGCAGGCTGACTTGCTCAATTTTTTGAAAATTCAAATGAAATGACTTAACAGTCCATTTTAGGCAGCAATTATTATTTTTTCAAATATATTAATTTTAAAAAATGTTTGCTCAAATTTGTAATGTTCGTCCTAATTTCTGTCAGATGATTTTTTCCAAATGCAATTCATTACGCGTGCGACTAGCAAGCGTTATCAAATCGGAATTTAGACTCTTTCGGATGAACAACTAGTTTAACAAAATCAGTTGATTCGAATTTTTGTTGTTGCTTTCAAAACAACTCTTTTTTTTCGTTTTTCGCTGGATTTTCTCGTTTTTTTAAGAGTAATGAACGTGGTGAAGACTCTAATGTAGGGCTTGCTGAGTTTTTTTTTCAGGATAAAGTCTTAAAATATGCACTTAGGTATGTATATATGCACTTTTTCACGAGTTCAATTGAAATTCATCTGCTGAAAGTGACGTAAATTCATCTGCTGAAAATGACGTGAATAGCACTCTCCAAATCCGAACGTGCAAATGGCGCAAAATTTCGTTAACGATTTCTAGTTTCTAAAATGGAGTTCAATTTTTAGATTTCCAGCGGAATAAAAACTTTGCCCGTTGATCAGTTTTCTCAAGCTGGGTTGATGTTACTATTTTCATTACTCTTTTCCAATCTTCGATAGGCTATGTTTTCACTTTGTTTTCTTCTGCGTAAATGGTTTCGGCTGATAATAAATCTGTTTGATTGTCTCAGCATTCGTTGTTTGAAATGCCAAAATGTTTTTAATTGCCTTTTTGAAAACGGGATTTCAAGATTTTACTGCAATTTTCAGGTCATTTGTCGTCTATCGAAAGGTTTTCTGCTCTGTCATCATTTGATGAATGTTGTTTTTTAAGAGTTATTCACACTGTCAATTGCAATTGTGTTTTCCCTTATCTTTCATGAAAATCAACCTACTTCGAGACAAAAAGAAACAATTCTTTGTTTTCAATTTGATTGAAAATTGTTCTGTATTTTGCAAATTTACCAATTCTCATTTTGAATACTTCATTTTTTTTCTGTCAAATAGGTTCGGCTTGTGTTTTATTGTCTCAGTGAACTTACATTGCATAGTTTCAAGGGCGGTTTTTTAAATGCCTTCGCGTGTTTCAGGAGTGATTGGTCGTAAAGTCTAGTTTTGAAAAAAAATTAACTTGAAATATTTTTATGGGTACTGTTTTGTTTTCTTTTAAGGAGGGTCGATCCAATTTTCGTCGCCCTAGTTATCCTCGATCATTGGTTCTTCAATACTTAATTAGGCAGGCTGTTCATGAAAATCATGCGAGACAAAGATATGATGTTTTTGCAGATGTAGTTTTTTTGTACTACATACTCTCATATAGGTCTTGTTGATTTTTTGTTTGCTTTTTCATGAAATGTTTTAACTGCTATATATAAGTTTGCTTTTCTCAGAAAAACAGCAATAAAACAGAATTTTGCGCTTCTATGTTAGTTCAAGGTTTGATGTAATTTTCAGAATTCCATGCGGTGGAAATAGAATATCAATCGGGAATAAATTTTGAGCGATTAGGAGTCATGATTGAAGTTAATCTCTTATATAGGTCGTGGTGATTGTTTTGGTCTAATTTTTCAGGAAAAAGTTATAAAATTTGTTCACGCTACAGTTAAATATTTCGCGGTTTGACTTTTGATTTCTAAGGTCACTTCTTCATTTCATTTGTTGAAAATAAGGCAAGCTTAAAGTGTAAAGGTCATAAAAAACGTGATCGATCGCTAGTCTCAAAAATGCATTTTAAGTTTCAGATTTGCGAGCGGAATAAATTTTTTTTCCTATTGATCCAGTTATCTCAAGTTGGATTAATGTAATCAAAAAAGTGTCAATCATAAATTGTTCTTTAAGTTCAAATAGTTTTAATGTCATAGGTTTTTCTTTGAAATTCGAAGTTTGAAGTTTTTAAGAGTAATGAACGTAGTGAAGACTTTTATAGGTCTTGGTGATTTTTTTTCAGGAAAAAGTCTTTAAATGTGCATAAAAGTTTTCTAATAACTAGAGATGTGCATTCATACATATTGATCCATTTATGAATGCACTTAGGTATATATGAACTCATTTGAAATTCATCTGCTTAAAGTGACGTAAATAGCACTCTACAAATCCGAACGTGGAAATGGCGAGAAAAAACTTGAACGATTTCTAGTTTCGAAAGTGGAATTTAAATTTTAGATTTCCAGCGGAATACAATTTTTACCTATGGATCCAGTTTTCTCAAGTTGGGTTATTGTTATCAAAAAAAGCGCTATACATAAATCGTTCTAGAATTTCAAAGAGCTTAAAGGGCATCTATTTTTTTCTTTGAAATTCAGAAGTTGAGGTTTTTTCAACGAAGTCTGTGTTTTTTTGTTTATTTCCGTTCATTACTCTTTTCCACTATTCGATTGGCCATATTTTAAAAATACATTTTTTTTTGTTTTTTTTTTCATGCGTTTATACTCTTTTCCAACGTTGTTGGCTATGTTTCAGATTTTTTTTAAAGAAAAATATGTTTTTTAAGATTATTTTTAACGCCTCTGTGTTAACAAAATTGATAGATGAAGCGTCCTTCGCGTCATGATTGTCGTCCAAACCTTTTAATGGCTTAATCGGCAGGCAATAACAGCTTTTGCGTCCGAGAAATTGGAAGAGCAATGGAACCCTTAAAAGCTCGTAGTTCTTTCGAAATTTTGAAAGACCTCAAGTAATGCATCTTTAACTAACTGCAAATTACCAGATAATGTATTTTGAACATTAAACGTTGGGAAACGTATATCTTGGCATTATAAGAGTACTCAGTTAGCGAGAGTCAGCAAACAGATAATCCCGTAAAGACTAGTTTTATGGTAAGAGTGCCACTAAAAAGCTGAAGCAAGTTGACTGTAAAGGTGTTTCTCTATCGAATGTACGCTATTTCAGTTGGAGCTGGTGATCAAGATTTTGAGCTGATCGGAGCAAAGATAAGACCCCAGAAAACAGCTAGGGGAATGATGCACCCGACGCCTTACAAGCCCCCATATGCAATATCTCAAAGTTCGGCAACTTCGAACCAGATTGGGACCAAGAAGAAAAACAACGAAGATCCCCTTCCGACGGCTTTAGAGCTGGACGAAACGGGAACTGGACTCATGTTGGAAGGAAGGGCCGTGGCTAATTCTCCAAGAATGGATGTCTCAAAATTGCAAACTCAGAGGTACCCAGTACTAGATAACAAACGCTTTGAATAATAAATTAGTGAGCTGAACTAAAAGGTATGCGATTTAGTGAGCTGAACTAAATGGTATGCAATTCTGAAGTTGAAACCCATGGGGAATTTAATTTCATATATTTTCATTTAAGTCATCGCTTTTACCAAACACATCCCACCTGGCTCAGTTAATATTCCTCTAGTTGGAAACTAATTTTTGTCTACGAGGAATACTAGCAGCATACAATTTTTCAGGTTTGCCTGGGAAACCTCTGTGGTTCTTGTGATTTTTGTTTCCAGGAAAATGTTTTCAAGTTTGTGCACGCTCAGTTGTTTTTTGTTGATTGGACTTTGGTTTCTTTTCAAGTGTACTTGATTTCTTTTTTTCTGAAGTTTTCTCTAAATCCATTTGCTTAATGGAAGGGCAATTTCAATATCTGTTTATTTCATTTCATTACGCTGGCGATAGCAGGTGTTATTACACTAGCGTCAGCTTAGTGTATTATTAAGAACCTTTTTTTTTCTAACCTAAGTCGCAAATATTGGTGCCACTTTTTGGGCACCTTTACAGCTTTTTGATAGCATGTGCTTGGACATTCAAATAGTAATAAGTTAACACAGTTGATGCAGTTTAAATTCTTCAAATGAACCGAAAAAAGCTAATTGTTTCAAACAACTTAATAATCATAAAAACTCGATTTCAATTTTTTTTACTCAATGTATCTAGGAATTTTTTTGAAATGCATAAATTATACATAATGTGCTTCATGCTTTGGGAGTTGTTACATGCAAAGCTAGTGTGAATGCCTTCAGCTTATTATATTCCAAATTATTCTTGTGTCTATTTGTGCAAACTTGTGTCTAATTGTATTTGGTGCCGCTTCTGCTGAATCTCATTGGCAATTTATTAGCATATGTAGCTGCGTTGTTCGTGACTAGTGTGTGTCGGTGGTTAAGCGTGTGTGGCTGAGTGGTTGGTGCGTGAGACTCAAAATCTCGTGATTGCATTAGGTCGCAGATCGAATCCTAGACCTAGCCGAATTTTTGCTAACTCGAGGTCTATTTCTTATTTGTTTCTTATTGCACCTTCTAGAGTTGCTTTTTGTCGTGTCTGTTTCAAATTTTGTTTTAATATTGGATGTTATTTTTCCAAATCCGAGTTTGTTCAGTATCATTTTTTTCGCTTTACTGGGCCAGCAAAGGTTTCGGCTTATATCATATCAGCTCAAGTTGATTTACGTGAAAAAGTCTCTTAGCGTGTCTGTTGCGGGGGGGGGGGGGGGGGGGGGGACTTGAAAAATTGTTTCGTAACTCATGATTTTTATGCAAACACTTTTTTGGAGTATTGGCCCTAGTTACCGTTGCGGGAACTTTGTTTCGATGCTAAGTTAACACTGGCTATATTCCTTGTAATGTTTTGCTCAGAAATATCTTCGTTCAAGACAAATTTAGACAAACGCATTTTGGCTGAGTTAGTTTTTTCATTCAAGCAAATCTTTGGACAATAGCATTATTAGAGTCGTGCCCATTTATTTTAAGGTAATTGATTAAATACCGCAGTTTTTTTTCAATTTTTTTTTTATTTTTAGAGATTTGTTTGCCGTTTTTGTTTCTTATGATTAAATGTCAGCGAACAGAAGGAAGACGATTCAGGTAGTTCGGTTTGTTAGGATATTGTTCACTCTCAAATTTGATTTTTCCAAGCTGAATTTAAATTCTTTTTCTAAAAAAAGGCAAATTAAACAATCCAATAATTTTCTTGAATTTTTTCCCTGGGAAATCACTTTTAATAACATTTTGATGATTAATGTTTTGATCGCTTTTGCTTTCTCAAGAGAAAGAAAAAGGGAACTTGGGTTTTTAATTTTTCTTATTCAGAGTTGCGCGAGGAGGCGAGGCATTGGACATTGAGTTGGACAAAGTTTCCTCGACTGATCGAAACAATGACAACTTCTCTACAGTAAAGAAAGATCTGGAACAGTTTCTGACCCAGCTAGAAGAGGATTCCAACGAAGCAGGAGTCCTGGAAACATCGGCACTCGCTAGAGAGAGGGAGGCTATGCGACTAAGTCTTCTGGCAAATAAGACGCCAGTTCCGTTTGACAAGGCAAACACAGTGAATTCAGAGATGGAAACTGAATTCGTCGAATCCCACTCCAACACGTAAGCAATCTTTTCGGGTGATCAAAATACATAACACAGAAGATATATTCGCTTATAAACCTCCATTGCAGCCCTCCATTGGCAGATCAAGCTGTGTTTGTGGAATAAAAGAATCTGATTCACTGAAGTTTCGTGTTATCGCTTACACAGATCAACTATGTATAATGTTTTGTAACCTCAAAATATTAAAAAGTAACCTCTCAAGGTATATTATGCGGTTTTGATTTTTCCTAATGTTTAATTGTTTTGTTTTGTAGCGGAAAAGGCTTTTTTTTGAATGCTTAATTTTTTGAATGTCGAGTGAATTTCGGTTCTCAACTCCTTTTTTTAAAATTCTTACCTCAAATTACAATCTGAAGAAATTAATCGGCCTAAAATATTGTTGACCTTTGCTTGAGGTCGACTAGATTTTCCTAGCTCTGCCAAACACTTTCTAGAGATTTTTCAGACTTTCTGGAAGGTTTTGACGAAAAAAATTGCATTGTTTCGGCGTGTCAAAATAAATATGTTTTGGCGCCTTTAAATTTTTAGGATCGGTCAGCCATAAATGGATGGCGCAAAATAGTAACAAAGTCCGCTCCGAAAACTGCTATTGCAATCAGGTTATCTTTCATTGGTTAAGTTTGTTTTTTCTTTTTTTAAAAAAAAGACTGAATCTTGAAAATTTCGTTAAATTAAAATCTGCTCGGCAATAGATTTATTTGGTTTCTTATCACTTACCCTTGCGATAAGCAAGGGTATTGAAATCGGTTACTATACTTTTTCCCCCGAAACAACTTTGTTCACAGAAAGGTCATTTTAGTAGGAATGGCAAATAGCACTTCTGACATGCTCAAAATCTTGAAATTCAAATAAAACTACCATCATTCAAGTAGTAAATAGCTAAAGACTGTTTCAGGTTGTAATTAATTATTCTAAAAAATGTCTCAACCAGTGTTCTTGGTTTTCGTCCTAGTTTCTGTCGGTTCATTTTTAGTTATTTTTTTAAAAAGCACATTTTCTTATCTGGTAGAGTTATTATTGGCTTATTTTTTAAAGCATTGGTTTGTTTCTATTTAAACCGTTTTTTTTTTACTATAACTGAAAGTTCAGTAATTTGTAAGTTTAGCGAGTCTGCTTTTGCTTTTTTTCATTGTTTAAAATATTTAAACTATTTGTTATTTCGGGTTAGTCAACTTATATTGCGTAATTTCAAAGGCAAAATATATTCGTATAGGATTATGTGCTTCAGTGTGGATGGGTCGTAAAAACTTTTAAAACTTCAAGAAATTTTCCATGACAGCAGTTTTGTTTTTGGCGCAACAGGCTTCAACCCAAAATTTTTCGCCTTTTTTGCCGCTCGATGAGAGATTTCCAATTGTTTTTAAGGCTGTTTATGAACTTCATCTGATACAAGCATGAAGTTTTTGTAGCTGTAGTTTTCCCAATTTTTTTTCAACTTAATTTTTCAGAAACTTTTTTGACTTCTGTCTTTTTTTCCACTGACTGTATTGTAGCGTAGTTCGAATTTTTTCAAGCTAGTTCAAAACTGGCTGTTTTTTTGCGCTATGTTTTCATCAAAATGAGTTTTAGTTCAAGTTAAACATTTGATAATTTCGGGTGTTTTTTTTGGGGAATTTTGTCTTTTTTTGTTTGGGGCTTTGTTTATCGCAAGTGGTGCGAAGCTTCGCCTCTGTGTGATATATTCAATTTAAATGACACTTTCTCAACTGCCTGTTGACTAAGTTTCTTTAAAAAAATCAATTCTTAAATTGCAACTTCTCTCAGGCCGACTATGACGATGTCTGAAAATTCGATGAGCATTGAAGATGGTAGGAAAAACAGGAACTGCTCCGATTACTCTGAGACAGCAGAGAACTCAAGCTCCAACTCCAATGCATCTACCAACAGCACTCATGACCTACTCCAGCAGCTGGACATTAAACTGCAGGCATGCTTTTTCTTACTTTTTTCTTTGTCTAATTAAGTTTCAGTGCTTGAAACATTGAGATAATTTTCTGGCGTCGTGTTCAGAAAACTTGTAGTTAATCAAAGCAGTTCGCAGCTGTCGGCGATGTCAAAATGATGAAGATGTTCCGCTTGAAATTATCGAGATCCGCTTGAAATTACGCTTGTCGAGATCCGCTTGAAATTATGGGAAAAAAATCTGTTGTTTTTTTTATTCAGCCTGAGTCCCGCTGGTAAACAATTAAAATCGGGCAACTTATAGGTATTGAAACACAGTGGCTCTACTCCTGAAACACTTACCATGATTGAGAAGATAAAACAGCAATTGGCCCAGTTTGAGCTGGGAATGCCAACAGCATCAACCCGAATGGCCTCCTCGGACCAGCAGACATTGCCTGCTAGACTCACCGGGCACAGCAGAGCTAGGACTGTGGCTAGTGCCAAGATGGCCAATCATAAAAACACGCCAGTGCGAGAGGTAGAACCTATGGGTAGTCAGTTGGCGCCTGCCAAGGCTGCCAACAAGGCCAAAACTCTGATGTCACTGAAGGCGTCCATGGCAGAACAGGATATGGTCAAGTGAGTCTTACTAATTTTGAGAACAAAGAGACAGAACACACTCATTTAAAAAGGGTCAATTAAAATGGGTCCTTCCGTCATGCGAGGGTCTGTGCACAGGTTGGATAGGGCCATGCCAACGCTATATAAATACATGGCAAAATTTAATGAATAAATCAGGTCGATTTTAAAGCATCCAAAGAATTGTCAATTAAAATCTACCCTCCTCGTTTATAGCACTGATGGCATTGTCTGTTGTTTGTATTTTTAAGTGTTTAGCACCCTCCGAGGCAGAGGATTGCACTCCTCAGAAGTGCAAAACTTATTTTAGTTCTTACAGAGTTTATTATGTCGGAATATGATACGTTCCGTTTTTCACTTAAATTCTCTGCTAAATTCTGGACAATTTTTGTAGAGCCTGGTGCTGCTCCTCCAGTACACGCAAAAATTAGCGGAACTAAGCTGCTGTGTTCCAGATTAAGAGTTCTTTGTTGGTATTTAAATGTTTTGACACTCACATGATATTTAAATGCGTCAGATATAGTTTTAGGGCAGGATTTAGCATGGGGGTTGAAAATTATTACATTGAAAAAGGTTCGTCTGAATCGGCCTCCCCAGAGTCCATTTGCCTTGATGTCAAGTCGAGCGTCATCTTCAATGGTGGTTGTTTGTTGTGAAAGGTTTCGCCTTCCAACGATTGAAGTTTCGGCGCTATCTCAACATCATGGCATACTTCGTCCAGGAGTGTCGCAAAGGTATCGCGAATTTCATTATGTATTAGGTGAGTGTATCCACCTTTGGGGCTGTGTAGAGAGTGGGTCAGTGTAAAAGATGGTTCACATGGGCCTTTATGTGGAGTGTTTGGTGGTTGCCATCCATATCTCAAATGTAAACCATCTTCCAGCTCTGATTTGTTGAGGGAAAAATTGAACTTTTTTAAGGGTAGCACGCTTAGCCAGTTCGATGCTCCTTTCTGTGATGCTAGGTTTATTGTTAGTTTTTTTTTTGATAAACAATTTTCCATAATACAAGCCTTTTTCGAGAGTGTGATGTTCTGTCTCTCAGTTTTGATGTTCCTATTTATCAGAGTTTGTTCCGTTTCAGCTATTTCTGGATCACTGTTTTCCAATGGACCATAAATGGCTCGTGACCACTCATAATTGCTGGAAAAGTCCGTGTTAATGAGGAGGTCTAATCCTCCCATTTGTAGTGGTAGTGCAAAAGGCTGCGATCTTCATCGGTTTTATGGTTTTTACCAGTAATACTAGGAAGTAGCTGCTGTCTTACGTTTTTCTCAATTTCGTCCATTTTCTGAAATGCTTCCGGATTTCTCATAGCACAAAAGTTAAATCTTTGGTTTGTAAACAGACCAACCGTCGCAGTTGCTATTAAGATTAAAGCTGCTAACCATGTTGAACTTTATCGTTTCAGAAATCTGCAAAAGCAGCAGACTCAATACAAGCAGCAGATCCGACATCTGGAGAGGGAACTGAAGCGACTGAAGCAGAATGACGTCATGTCCTCGTGTGAACTCAACATTGAAGACCTCCAATTCAGCGAAGAAGGTAAGATTAGGCCAAAGAAACAAGAGCTAGAATTCGAAATATAGGTTTTGCCGGTTTGAAGTTGTATTCAAAACTAAACTTCTGTTAAATAAACATAAAGTACAATTAATGGTATTTAAGTCGCTTAATAACGTCAACATGCAGAAACTTGGACTCATTGTGGCTAGAACAACTTTTTCAAATATTTATTGATAATTGTATGCGAAAGTTTGACAAGTTGTCCTGTCCAGATTTCTTGGGAGACGGCGCCTTTGCGGATGTGTTCTACGGGCTGTACAGTGGGAAGGGGGTGGCTATCAAGCGCCTCAAGGGACTTCTGTCCTCATCCGATGAGTCATACTTCAATGCCGAAGTGTCCCTTCTGAGGGAATTGAGACACCCCAATGTGGTGTTGCTGTTGGGCGTGTGTAGAGACAGAGAGGGAAGACCTCTGATGGTGTTGGAGTACATGGAGAATGGCAGTCTGTTCAGTGTGTTGCATGATTTCGAGAGGTGAACTAATTTTAACAGTTTTCTAAGAAAACTGAAATTAGAAATAAATGAAGGTTATTGTAGAAAACGCTACTAGTTCACTGAGCAATTGATAGAAGTTTCAGGTGAAATTGATGTAAAGGAACTATTAGCTTTGCAACTGCATTTTAATACAATTTCCCAAAAATTGAACCTAATTTCGGTGACCGGCAAATAAGACGACAGCCGTTTTTGATGCGACGTTACGACTATACACGTAGTTCTCATACTTGTGTTTCTGAGAAATTTAAACCGCATAAACTCGAACTGCTCGTTTTACATGTAATAACGCTAATTTGTCGTCTTCATGTCTTGTTACGTTAATGGCAGTTGTCGTCTTATTTACCTAGCACCCTTAATTTCATCTGCGGTCCAGGTAACAGATCTTAAGCGTTATCCCTCAAAATTGTTCATGCTCTAAATTACTTTTGTTTTCTTTGTAAGTTTTGGCATGCTCAATAATGATTTGAGTTCTTTTTAAGTTCAATTCAAATTGAGACAAGTTGCGCTCTGCAGAAACAAAAGTTTAAACCGCGCTTTCAAAGATCAATTTGTGCTGCTTGTTCAGATCGGGCTTGGACCACGTGGCGTTTTACCAGATCTCGAAGGACACGGTGATCGGGATGAACTACCTTCACAAGCACAAGCCAGGCCCAGTGCTACATCTAGACCTGAAGAGCATGAATGTCCTCCTGGACGAGTACGGAAAGGCCAAGATTGCCGACTTTGGGTTTTCAAAACTAAAGTAGGCCAACAATTTTCACATCAAAAATCCCCAAAATATGATTTTGCAACTTCATTTAGAAACATGTTATTAAATATTTAGAAACATGAAACAAATTATTTAATCGGTATTTATTTACAAAAACAATCATCTATATGAAGTAATCGGTACTTTGAGTACAGGACTTACCGAGGAATCTAAGCAGTGTTGGTTTTTTGCAGTCTTAAGTGGCGTAATTCGTCTGTCCAAAGCTTGATATTAGAACTTTTTGAAAGCAAGATTAGAACTGCTTGATAATAGACTTGCTTGAAACATCTTAATGAATCCATGAAGTTTAACCCGGCAGAATATATCAAGGCCTGCGCTGTGAGCTTGGTGCATGATTGTGGATTGGCGATTTCTCAGACTTGATGAAATAAGAATAAGGTTTAATAATATGTCAATAAAAACCTAAAATATAATCACTAAAAAGAGATTTGGAGCATTTATATTTTCTTTCATCGTATATGTCTGGTAAAACGCCAGTAGCAAACAGAATCAGATAAAGTGTTTTTCTAGGAGCAACACGGATAGTGGGAGTGAGAACCAACTATCAGTTGAGAGCAGGAAGGGATCCCCCGCCTGGATGGCACCTGAGACCCTGCAGCAGGGAAAAGTGTCCACCAAGAGCGACGTCTATAGCTTTGGCATCATCTTGTGGGAAATGTTGACGAGGGAAAAGCCGTATGAGGGCATGGGACTGTTCCAAGTCATGGAAGGAGTCGCTAAAAAGGGACTGAGGTAGAGTCTGATTACAAATTAATAGAAGTTTTTAGGATGCAATTAAGAAATGTTTTGAGTAGTTAACATGTGTCAGTAATAAGCCTCTGTTAATTTGATAGAAATTTTATCTAACCTCTCTGATTATATAGATAGACAAGGACCGTTACAAATAGCCGATAAAGTATGTTAGAGATGCTTCCTTTAAAAAGTTGACGGATATTAAGACCCAAATTGGTCTTTCATTGTATGTAGTTTTTAATTCAATGATGAAAACGGAATTTTTGCAGAGAAAAATCTTAGATGAAACTTTTTTTTATTCATGAAAGAAGAGCATCAAACGAGCTGTTAAACAAGAACTTTTCCAAAATATGAAAAACTCTTACTATTGATTTAATTGTAGTGCATGGCAGCATCATAATGTGCAAGGAACAAAAATACTGAATTTTTATCTGTTTCAGACCGGTTATCCCCGGATGGGTTCCAAAAGAGCTCACGTCGTTGATCAACCTTTGCTGGCATGCTCAGCCCTCTCAAAGACCCTCTTTCCAGGTAAGAAATAGAAAAGGTACCGACTGAAAAGTGTTTGAAAGACTTTTTGCTGGAAATTGTTGGCGACAGAATGGATCTCTAATGCTTTTATGATATGTATTTCATGGTGTTGGACATAGAAATTCAATTGCTTTCTGAAGTTGACTATCATTTTTTGAATCAATTTAAGTGGCAAGGAATGAAAGGAATGAAAAGGATATCACTAAAATAAGAACGTAAAAGATTACAATTATCACGTGCGACTTTTACTTTTACTTTTTTAGGAAGTGCTGGATATTTTGGACAACTTGCACCTACCTCCGGAGTGGAAGAGTCTCCTGGACGCAGCAGGGGTTCCACGAATTGTTCTCGAGGACCCAGAAGTGACAAGAAGCATCGTCGAGTTTGTTCATCTTTCTCTAAACGTATCAGACAGCAGTAGCAGTATTCCAACGAGCGGAGGAGGTTTATCTGAATCAATGATAGATCAGGAACGACAAATGATTGATCTAGAAGTGGTGTCGGCGTTTGAGATGCTGACCAGAAAACAAAAAGAGAAGTCTTACCGGACCTTGGTTCCAGCGCTCAGCAGTTTGGCAAGTTCAGTCGGAGATGATCGAGATAGAAGTGATGTGAACAATGATATTAGCGATGTTTGGGATATTCAAGTTCATTCTACTCCAGTTGCGGAAGATTCCGACACTCCACGTGCCCTATCACAAATGGAAAAATCGAAGGAAGATCTAAAGATAACTGAATTGTATACACATGAAAGTAGACCCCGCACTGTGATTGGTAGTTCAGCTGAGCCGATCAGATCGCAGATATCAGAAGATGTTTTGCGCAACCAGAAAGCCAAATTGAGACCGACTACTGTGGCACCGCATCCGAGCCAGTTAGCCAATCTGGCCTCAGTGGACGAGGGCAAGCTGAACACAATTGCAGCTGTTATTAAACAGGCTGGTTTATTTTACTCTTATCAATTTTTAAGTGTCAATCAGCGTAGTGAAGTTGTTTACATAGGTAGTGTTGATTTTTTTCGCGGTGTTGATAATCATGTTCAATTCATTTCAATCGCTAAAAGGAAGGTAAATTACGCTCTCTATGTTTCGGATCCGAAATGGCGCGTAAAAAATGGATGACTTCTAGTTTCAAAAAATGATTTTAATTTTTTCCCAGTGGAATTAGAAAGAAAAAATCAGCAAGAAATTGAACTTGCTTTGTTATTGAGCCTTAAAAACTCACGTGGTCTAGTGGTAACACGGATGCTTTGCACCCTAAGTTTTGATTTGCGTCTCGGTCGGATCTTTTTTTAAAATCTATGAAAATGTCTGCTGATTTTTGTAGGCTTAATTTCCAAAACATGGATTTTTTATTCAAACAGTTCTTACTGTAATTGACTCTGTCGTTCTATTATTTCGTCAATTTACCAACTCGAAATAGTTTGAAGTAACTTAAAAATTTTCTTCCTAATAAAATGGTTCATAATTTTTTTGATTGAGAGGCAATGAACTTAGTAGAGACTCTTATATAGGACATGATGATTTTTAACATGGATTCAACTTGTGTGTTTTTATGCTTAGTTAACGTATTTTGTGTCTTTTGAAAGGAAAAATTGATGTTTTCCATTTCTAAGTAAATCAAAATGGTTGTAGTGTAAAAATTTTAAGTTTTTAAAACTTCATCGATCAAAAGTTTTTTAATGACAACAATATTTTTTTTCGGCTTTATGACCGTCTACCCAAGTATTTTGCAAGCAATCTGCGCTCGCAACTTCTACAAGTTTTACTGAAACTTGATTTATTTTGGTGGTTGTTGTTCCTATTTTCAGAAAGTCTTAATTTTTTGACAGTGATTTTTGTCTTGCTTTTTATTCTTCAGCTTTCAATGCTGGGCTTGCGTTGTATTGCAAGTAGTGTAAAGCCCTTCTTCGCCTCTAGGCCGTAAATGTTCGTAAAAATAAATGCTAGTAGTAGGAAAACTTTTTTCTGCTTACTAGCTCTTGGCTATGTTTTTATGAGCATAGTGAAATTTAACTTAAATACATCTTGTGATTTCCAAAAACGTATTCAACAGACCATAGCTTATAGCTAATGTAAAAAGTTACCGAAGTCGGGGAAACGAAGCTAATGAACCGTTAAATTTTGTCAACCGTAAAAGTCAACCGCCAAAACAAAATGAGCGTAATCTTAGAATATTTCTTCTGTAAAAAAGTCAACCCAAACGACTGTTATGTGGCAATGCGTTACAAAAGAATATAACCCCTGAATGTTTTTTCTACAGAATTTGATGGGCATTCGGCTTTTAAATACTAATGAACGAACTCAATAGACTTACTCAGGACGTAGTGCTAATGTGGAAGCAGTTTTGAAAGTTCTGCTCGTCCAAATTTATTTTTATTTTTTTTTGCTTTTTGACTTGATTTATTTGAAAGTTCCGTTCAAATTTATTTTCCGGCTAGAAGGCAAGTTGTGCGTTGATTTTTTAACGGTGATATAATTGTATTATTTACTTTGTGAAAGCATGTGAAAACATCAGTTTTGATAAATTTAACGAAATCATAGAAATCTATTTGCAAGACTGTAATATAAAAAGGTAAGTGTTCTTCCTACGCCTTCAATTCCAAGAGGCCACAAGTAATAAATTATATTCACCTTTCTTCAGTCACAGAAAATTTGATTGGTTAGTTATTAGTAACCAATGAATTTTTTTCGTAGGATTCTTAATCATTATGCGTACCCTTTAATTGACGAACTTTCAATAAAGTGGTAGACTATTAACTGGAGGTTATCTGTGGCTAAGATATTGGATCAGAAACAATTCATGTTTTTCAGGCGTTGAACGACCGAAGGGAGTTCATGTTGGATGACACGAGTAGTGAGAGAGGGGAAGACGACAGATCCTCTATGATGGGAGGAGACACAACACGAAGAACGGACGATGACGTCACCAGAAACAAATGATGACTCATGAAGTGTTTTATTCCATTAGATACTACGTTCGTGAAAAAGTCAAATGATCCATCCCTCTGCAGTCAGATTTTAGATTTTGTTACTCCCAAAAACTTATCAAAACACTCATCTTTCTCGAGGCGTGAATAAATTGTGTACATAATTGTGCGAGCTGTAATTTTTGTAGATATGTAAATAGTTGTAGTGCTTTGTAGCTATATGTATGATAAAGTTGAGATTCTAATTTATCGGATAAATGGTCTTTTCTCAAAAACTGACCTCAATAATTTCAAACTCAGGTCTCTTGATCTAGCATGAGTTTACATGCGTCTAATTAACACACATTCAATGGTAAATGGAACGGAGTCTGATTCAAGAGCTCCCGGGGTCGAAACTGTCTTCAAAATTGTTTTCAAAAATTTAAGTTTTCATACATTTTTTAAAAGATGATGAACGAATTTCAGGCTTTCGTATAAAGGTAGCGATGATTTTATGTTCAGGAAAAGTCTTAAAATTTGTTCCGGCTCAAATTAACTTTTTCGCGGTTTGACTGATGATTTTTAAAAGTTCTGTCCATTTCTTTTGTTAAAAGGAAGGGAAACTCCACTATCAAACAGCAAAAGGGTAAAGGTCACGAAAACGTGATCGACTTCTAGTTTCCAAAGTGGAATTTAATTATCAGATTTCCCAGCAAAATAAAAATTTTACTTATTGATCCAGTTTTCTCCAATTGGGTTAATTTGATCACAAAAGTACCTATCATATGTTGTTCAAAGAATTTTCAGGGCATCTATTTGCTTCTTTGAAATTCGTAAGTTGAGATTTACTCTGTTTTAACTGTCTGTTGGCTATGTTGGTATTTTAGAGCCGGAGATTTTGGCTCGTGTTTGCAATGTACTTTTTTGTAAAAACGTATGGCTTAACTAGTAAATGCATTTAATTATTTCATCCTTCTTGTCTTCGAAGTAACTGAAAAGTTAGGTTTTCAGAGTGCTCGCAATGATTTCAGATATAGTCAGTAAACTGAATGCATTGTGTATAGTGTTAGGTAGTTCGTCCCCAAGACGACAGGAGCTTCTAAAGCGAATCGGTCTACAGTTTTTGGTCGTCAAATCCAATTTCCCTGAGAATCTAGACAAGGGCAGCTACAAATTGTCACACGAGTATATTAGAGAGACAGCATTGAAAAAGTTGACGGATGTTAAGACACAGGTTGGTATTTTGTTGAGGTTAGTCACAAGTTCAATCATCAGAACGGGATGAAATAGATAAAAAATAATTGTTTATCTTGAGGGAAAGAAGCTCCATACGAGCTGTTAATCGGTTTGAAGAATAATTGCTTTGCCGCCCCTGATTAATGCCTACAAAGATTTGAAACGCCCTTGTTTTATGATTCGGGTACTATACTTTTTCCGCTTACCAACTTAGTCAAGGTTTTCCGTTGCCCTGTTATCCTCAGTTTGGCGAAAATGTAAATTTTGCTTCTATGCTACGTCCTATTTTTGTTTCGATATTGTTATTAGAAAATAAGAACTTCCTGCTATTTACACATAGGAGAGTGTTGTTTTTCCAAAGAGTAGAAAAAAAAAACGGAATACGGTAGGTTTTTAATTTTTTCTAGCCCATCATGAAAAGCTCATAGGAAGTGAAGTATCACATAAAATTCTTTTTGATGTGATTCAGAAAAAAATCAAAAAGTTGTCTTTCTGTTATTTCACAATTTTTCCGATTTTCAGACTGATTTAGACGACATTTGATGTAAGGCTCACCTCATCATTTTGAATCTTCTACAAGTTGACCAGTGTTTTAGCGATTTTTATTTCTCATTATTGCAGTTTTTAACCTTATTCAGTCCTCACGAAAAAATAACATTAAGCTAGACAAAAATTCCACTTTTTGCTTAACTTTCTGGCGCTTTTGCTGTATAGGCATTGGCAATTGAATAGCATCTGCTATAGCTACTTCATTGGTGGCTAGTGTTTGCCTTTTTTCAGGCGACCACCGCACAGATGCAAGGACGTAAGAATCGTAAAATCTATGTTGCGGTCCAATTTCGGTAAATTTCAAGTAGCTTTATATTTCAAGGTTTATTTTCAGCTTTTGTCTCCTTATCTCACTTGTTTAAGAGTTCAGACTGTTCTATAGGTCGTGATTTGTTTTCGTTCTTTTTAAGAACAAGTCTTAAAGGTTGTTTAAAACGTATTTCGGCCTCTCGTGTCAATCATAAAATATTCTTCGAAAAATCAAAGAGCCTCGACGTTATTTGTTGTTTTCTTGTAATTTCAAAACTTGAAAAATGTTTAAAAGTTAATTTTTTTTCGGCTTCTTTGAGGTCCTTGTCATATCTCAAATTTTCTGTTGGCCATGTTTTGTTGATTGAAAGTTTTATGGAGCGAAGTCACCTCACATCAAAAGTTCGTGCTTCGAATTTTTTTATGTTCCAATTTTTGACATTTTTTGTGTCAACGAGAGTCTACCCATTGCGAGTATCTGGCAGAGGTCGGCTTATTTACATCTTAGTTTTGTAAACTTTGTTTCACTAGTAATTTAACTCTGGTAATTGGTTACTCGAGATGTTGTCATTTAGAGGAAGTTTTTTCGAGATAAACGTATAAAAGTTTTGGTAGTGTTTTGAACAACTTTTCCACGTATGTCTCATTTTTTTCGGCTTGCTTGCCGTCCTTTATTTGAATTTTTTTGTAAGTACCGCTAGTGACGTGTATTTTTCATCAGTATTATTGAACGAAATCTATTTTTTTGCTAGTTTGTGTTGAAAGCTGACTTGCTAAAATCAACTCTCACTATTGATTCATTTAAACTTTTTGGCGATTTGCTTTGATTTTTTATTTGCTTGCTTCGTAGTAATTTTGATCCGACTACCTTCCGGTGTTTACCATGTAAAATCAGGTTTTATAAATGCATATCCTACAAGGTCGATTGATAAACCATAATCAAGCCCCTTCAGTTGTGACTCTGATTCTCAGTATATTTACAGGAAAAACTGGTCCGAACTGATTTTGCTTTCCAGACTATTTTACCCGGAGAAGTTGCAGGATATCTTATCTTTCTATTGCCTTATGCTTATGCAATCTGATTTCAGAATGATTTTTGATTTTCATTGTGATTAATCGTTAACCACCAAATTTATAATATATTTTTTTAAAGGTTGTTACATGGTCGTTTGGATACCATTGTTATACTTGCAACTAAATGGAGACTTTTTCTGTAAACAAATTCTTTAAGCAAAACATCTTTTTAGCGCTTCTGTAGCTCTTATTTTGTTTTTGCAGTTTTTTATCTTGTTCGGTCAATGTTTGCCGAAAATTTTTGAAGTTTTTGAATATTTTGATTTTCCGACTCTTAGTATAAATTAATGTGCTTGGATTTTTATGGCTTTTTCCAGCAGTCGGCAATATAGTATACTATTGTAAAATACGGTTCCACAATGCATTAAGAATTTGAACGATTTTGTATTATGATTCTCGCAATTGTGTTTCGCTAAATAATTTTTGGTTCTCCGAGATGACAGTGTACTTTTAGAATTTTTTCTTTTTTATCGCACGTGAAGCGAAGCGCCGTTTAACCGCTATATATAAATTTGCTTTAAGGACAAAACAGCAATAAAAGGGAAGTTCGCGCTTATATGCTGGTTCAAGGTTTAATATAATTTTGAGAATTCCTGCGGTGAAAATAGAATATTAATATGGATTAAATTTTGAATTATTAATAGTTATGAAAGGAATAGTTAAAAGGAAGTGATACTCGAACTATCAAACACCAAAAGTGTAAACGTCACGAAAAAGGTGATTGATTCTAGTTTCGAAAATGCTATATGTTTCAGATTTTCCAGCGAAATAAAAATTTCACCTATTGATTCAGTTTTTTTTCAAAATGGGTCAATATTCTCAAAAAAGTGTCAATCATAAATTGTTCTCGAAATGCAAAAAGCCTTGAGGCCATATATTTTTGTTCTTTGAAATTTGAAAGTTGAAGTTTTTGTTCTGTTTCTTTGCGTTCATGACTTTTTTCCAAATGATTTTTGGCTATGTTTTTTTCATCAGAAAAGTGTCCAAATTTAATATCGAAATCTGCTCTTCAAAATTCGCGCAATGTTAAACAATTGAAAACTAAAGTTGATTGAATACACAAAAAGTGTGTGAAAACAACTCCATTGATGATGATAATAAAACTAAATTGTAAAATATTGTGATTAGAAGCAATTACCGATTTTCCTAGTTGGTTTCAACCATTTGTTAAGAACAGAAATATTGCTTCACCCTAAAGCAACCAGAATTACAAACATTGTTTTGAGCCTCCTGTTTCAATGCGTGAGGCGGAGACACATAATTCTGGCTCTTTTCCCAAGCGAAATGTAGCCAAATGTACGGACGGACTGTCTTGATTTCCGTTGCAATAGCAAAGTGAAGTGGAGACAAGGGGATGACTAACAAGGAGACGGGTCTGATCTATGAGGTTTACAAACAAAATGAAAAAGTATTTTGGCGGTAAACGAATAATTGTTTCACGAATGAAAGTAGGAGTAACTGCTGTAACAAATTGTGATTCAATATTCGGCTAATATTTTTCTTCAAATTGGGTGCTTGCTTCTGCTTTTGTTTGCTTTACTGTCTCTTATAATTGTCTTTTAAGTTCATTGCCTGAATCAGACCCGTCTCCTTGACATTCACCGGCAAGGAGGGTTGAGAAATTAGACGATAAGCAAATTAAACGGAGGCACTTAAAAGGAAATTGGACGGCTTTTCGAAACCGCAATTGTGAGAAAATAGACGAAAGTGAGAGAGATTAAAATATTTTGCAGACAAATTGCGTGAGAAAAATAAAATTGTTTGCAGAGCAGACAACAGTTAAATTTCGGTGGCCAAAAATTTTACTTGTCAATCATGCATAATTTATTCAATTCAAAACTCTCCTGTAATATTCGGATTCGACATTTTATGTGCATTTTAACTAATTGTTTTGATAGGTATTGTCATTTTGTTCTTTTTGTATTTGTGAAACTTGACTCTTGAGAAAAAATTTTGTTGACCCTTTCCTTTTCATAGCAGTAACGTCTAAAATGCCAGATCTGTAAAAAAATTCGTCTAATTTCGTTTTTGTAGCATCCGTCTAATTTGCTTATCGTCGAATTTCCTAGGCCCCACCGGCAAGGGTTATCTCATAGAGTAGTTCCAGATAAAGTACGCCGTCCGTTGGTCACGTTATCTCAGTTCGGCCAGATAGGTTCGTACTCTTATTTTCTTTTTCTCATTGGATCTATTTGAGTTATAGAAAATACTCGGTTATAGAGGGATCAACTTTGTTCTTATGTCTCGTAAATGGACTGCCTGGTTAACCAGTCAAGTTTCACAAAAAGAATGAAAGGATGAGTTATCGATTATTATGAGTGGATAGTAATTAATACCTTATCATTCAAAAGTTTTAGTTCAAAGATTATACAGTGCTGATTGAAATTATCCGGACAAAACGAACAAAACTTGAATTTTTGAAAGCGTTTTTCTCAATTTGTGTTAAAGTTAAACAAAAAGTGAAGTTGCTTAGAATTTTACTAGAATTAATATATTGCATTTTTTTCTCCGAAATCCTCCACCAAAGTTTTACGCCAAAAATGGGTCATTTTGGCTTTCTTTAATTGATCAAGAATTACGCTGAAACTACTTTGTGAATAATTGAGAAACCTATATCACAAGAAGCCTCTTACACATCTCAACAAAGTTGTAGAACAAAGGTTTAAATCTCCATAATTTGCGCAAATTGTTAAAAATTTGTTTTTAAGCTAAAGTTTTGGGTTATTTTTAGTAAAAAATCACATTTCTTGACTAGCAAGCATAAATATTTTCTCTTATACAGGTTTTTGTAGATTTAAACTTTTCAGGAACTTTGTTGAGATGTGTAAGAGGCTTCTTGTGATAGTTTTCTCATCTATTAACAAAGTAGTTTCAGAGTAATTCTTGATTAATTCAAAAAAGCCTAAATGACCCATTTTGGGGTAAAATTTGGGTTGAGAATTTTGGAGAAAAAATTGCAGCATATTAATTCTGGTGAAATTTTAAGCAACTTTTGTTCACTTCGTTTTTTGTCTTATCTTAATCCATTTGGAGAAAAACGCGTTTGAAATTTCAAATTTTGTTAGTTTTGTCCGGTTAATTTAAATCAGCTCTGTTTGAAGCGAGAATCGATAATATAAATGAAAATAATAAGGGTTGTGAAAAATCATAAGCACCGCAAGTTTTTGCTTCGCGGTTATTCTAACTACTTGTCACTGAGCGTTCGTGAGCGGATTGCGCTCAAAATTTAGTACTTTTCTTTGCCAAAATGAATAATCGCGGAAGATTTTGTGTTAAATGCAATTTTTTGGTTGGTTCGACTACAAGTTTCAATGCACAGTAAAATTTAATCACTATAGCTTCCGCCGAAACTTAAAATTCTAACGGAGATATATGGAGTTAAGTGTTTAGTTCGGTGAAATAAAACTGCGCGAAGATTGCATCGACTCATTTGCCTACCAAGGTGATAAAGGGGTCTCAAGTAACTAAAAGTGTCTCTAATGCAAATACAGCACCTCAAAATCTCAACACCTTGGGATAACACCTAGGGACTAGACTTTTTCCCCGGAAAGAATTTTGTTCACAAGATTTCGCACGTGAAATTATTAGGCGTGTTTCATCCTGCTGCATAAATAATCCACAATCAATTAACCATCCAGCGTATCTGGCGTAGAGGTAACTTATCTCATTGATATAATGAGAGTTTCAGGTTCGAATTCGGACGGGCCTGTTTTGCAAACTAGAAATTTTCGGACTTTCGCCCGTCTGTTTATTTTTGTTGTCCGAGTTCCAATAGCGCGGACTAATGAACATTTCTACACTTTATGAATGCTATTGCAAAAGCCTCGTTGTCGAGATAAATGAGTTACCAGATTTTTCGTATAATTCTTTTAAATTATTTTCCGGAAAAATGTTCATTGTTTTTCCTTTTTTTTGCTCCGTCAATTATTTAGCTGGAAATTATTATGCATGCGGTTATAATGATGCTCAAGATTAGCAAGCGATATCAATTCCGAACATAAAATTTTTCTTGCAGACAAGGTTGCCAACAGGATCACTCTCAAATCTGCTTTGCAACAACTTTCAAAATGCACGTTCTATTCAATATACGTTTTTTTACCAACTCTGATTCGGTATAATTTCCGTTTTTCTGTTTTTTTGTTTACTCAACTTAGAAGTTTTTTGGTTTCTTAAAATCAGCTCAGCTGCATCATAATGCGTCGTTGAATGAGAGAAACAAGTGTGAGAGTTTTTTTAGGGGGTAATTCCAAAAAGATTTTGATTTTTGTTTAATTCAATGTGTATGCTAAAAGTTTTGTTGAATTTGTTACCGCTTTGTAAGTTTTGTTCCAATGCAAGCTTAACTTCCAAGTGCTTTATTTGGCTTTTAAAAAGTTGAGTTTTATTCGATATAAATATATGAAAATTTTGGTAGATCTAGCTTTTCTCGACATTTCAAAACTTTTTTAGACGGAGCGGTTTGCGTCTCAATTTCTGCCTTTGATGAGAATTAGGGTGATTTGGAACCCGCTGTCACTCACACTCGGTTACTACAGGGACACCTCTATGGCACTTGTACCTTTCTTTGATTTTATGCGGCAAAATCTCAAACTTGTCTCTAGGGATATCGATGTTAATTTTAAACAAATATTGAATGCTTGTGTGCATTTTCAGGCTAACATGAGATTTAAATTGTCTAAAAAGGCAGCTTTTGCATGGGAAATTTTTGAAATAAGCGATTTGCTCTTTTTATATATCTTTTTCTATTCCAGTTTTTTGCAACGGTTAGAAACGGAGCGAGTGCAATAAGCCGATGTACTATAAATAGATAGCCAAAAAGTGTGTCAATGATCCAAAGATCTTTTTTCTGCCGCTGATTTAATCTTAAGTAATTTTCAGCTGACTGCTTTAGCGGCCTACGGCGCGCACACTCTTGTAAACATTATTGTTAGGTCGAAGAGAGCGTGCATAATTGCCGGTTGATTATCGGAGCGGATACTGTAGTTGTTCTGGATGGACAGATAATGGAGAAACCAGCAAGTGCAGAGGAGGCCAAACTGATGCTGAGAGCGCTCTCGGGTAGGAGACACGAGGTGATTTGATCTCTTTTACCTCTGCGACTTAGCCAAACCAGATACATCAGGCACTTCAGTGAGATTTGCAATGCATGGAAGCGTTATTTGTTACGATAGCGTCGCTTGTTTTTTTATTTGCCCCGCCCCTGTTCCCTCTCTTTTTTACTTAAGCCTACTTCGCTTGTCGTCATGGTTGCATCTAGCATCACTTATTATGTTGCTTTGAATGGATGAAGAGCATTGTTTTAAGTTAATGCCGTATCAGTTCAAATGCCTCACCCTATAAATGTGTCTGGTAAGTTTAGCAACAGCTTTTCTATTAATCTATAAACCGATGAATCTATCGGTTTATCATTGCAAATATTTAGCATAGTAATAGAGCAGAGTTAAATTTGGGGTTTGTAGACTTGTAAAATTATTTCGACGGAAACTTAGAAAGATAAGATAATATGAATATAAGTTTTAACGCGGCGCTTTTAACCGGTTTGTAAAGCTTTCAGTGTATATTCAGTTTCGGTGCTTGGTGAGTGATAAATTATACTCATTAATTGAAAAAGCATACTTGAGAAAAACTCATTGTTATTTTAACACTTTATTGATAACAATAGGAATAGTTTACCAGGTGGTATCTTCGTGTGTCGTGTTCTACAGACGAGAGGGTGATGATAGTTGGCGGACTGAGCAGTTCGAGACTACCACTGGCGTCCACTTCGCCAGCTTGCCGGAGAGCCTCATCGAGGTCAGTTTGAATCGATGGGCTAACACCAAGCGAGTTTTGACTAGTCCAGTTGATCGAGTCAGAGATTAATCAGTTTTTTCTATCCCAGAAGAATATTTCTCATTAAACGTGAAAAGTTGCTGTGAATTTCAGTATAATTGTAGCGCAAGCAGTTGACCCATTTTTTTGTCGAAGAATTTGTTCTTTTTTCTTATGTCCCAATCTCAGTGGCGGAAAATGAGTTCCTCTACTTTCAGGGGTCTATTATTTTGAGCTGGCTTGTCGGATGGCCCAATTTTCTCATGATGTCTAAGTCTCGCAGAAAGTATGAGTTGAGACTCAAACCAATCATGTGCTCCAAAGCGATGTGAAGGTTTCAGTTTGTGCTAGCCTATTTTGTTGGGTACTTAAAAGTGATGTCTGAAACCTAGATCCACCCTTTTTTTACGTACGTATCAATTAATTTTCAAATCGAAATTTATATTTTTTCCAAATAATTGGGTCTAACAGAACCACTGAACCATTGCTAACAGTGATGGTGGTGCACAAACGTGCTGATATGCTCAATTTGGAAAATTCGAATTGACCTACTGGATGCTATTACAGCTTACTCTTGTTATTACCCTTGCGATAAGCAAGGGTACTGCAACGTGGTACTAGAATTTTTCCCCGTAAATAACCTAATTCACAACTCACAAGATTTCGGCCGTGAAAATGTTAGTGTATAAATACTAAATTTATTGTTTCCTAACCTAAGTGGCTGATAAAAGTGTTTACAGAGACTTTGTGCAACCATAGCCTGAATCTCAATCTCTTCAAATAGAAAACATTTTTTATCCAAAAGTAATCGAATGAGTGCTGCCCGAGACTTTACTCTACAAATATTCGCCTTAGTCTTAATTTGCGACGAAAAACAGACATCGTTCGACCGTTTTGGTCAAACGATGAGTCGAACACCTCAGCTCGGGCGAGTCTGACTTAGTGAGACTTTGCGAAAGTTAAGAATTAATGTGTGACTATTTTGAGCTAACTTCTATGAAAAAAAATACATTTAATAACAATCTTGTCTATATCAAACAACACGTCTAACGATATCAAAGTAATTCTGACCTTGAAACTTGATTCAAAAGAGTTCTTTGAAGTACGTGTTTGCTCAAAATCCCGTTTATCTGTTTAGCTCTCAGAAATAAGTTAACAACCATTTGTTGAATGAAAGTTATTTTTATATCTGTAGCCTTTAATTTTTTCTAAAACGACGCCTGTGAAAAGTGAGAATTTCACCAGAAATAAATTAGTGCATTTTGAAAACAAACTCTGACTTCTTAACAAAACTCTGGGTATGATATTAGCTTATCTTAAAAAACCACATAGTTACCAGATCAATTGATAAAAAAAGTTATACCGAAAGAAGCCACTTAAACAGCCCAAAAAGCTCCTAAATAATCGATTTCCACCTACGCGTTAATTGCTCTGTTAAAACTCTGAAGACTTTGACGCGAACAGCTACTTTTTTACTACGAACCTTCCTCTTTTTCCTTTTTCTAACTTAATTCTCAAATAAAAATGTTCATTAAAAGTGTTCACTTGTGTGCTTTTTTGCTATAATCACAATCTGTAGCATAGGAAATTTCACAGCGTCTGTTTTCTGCTTTATTTTTGGCTAGTGTTTGTGATTCATTAAGCGTCCGTGACTAAGTGATTAGTGTGTGAAACTCATGTTCTCTAGGTCGCAGATCGAATGCTAGACATAGCCGAATTTTTACTAATTCGAGGCTTTTTTCCTCTTTCTTATTGCACTTTATAGAGCTGATTTCTTATCGTGTTCTCACTAGTGTTTGCGAAGCCCAGATTTGCCTCTGGGTGATAATAGCGGCAATATTGTACGAACTTTCAAAGTTATAACTTGTGAATGTGTCAAATTAATTCAGTAGTTTCAGTTTTTGCTGGAATGCAAGAGATCCTTCTTGATTTTATCAATTTTTTTTGTAAATAATAAGTTTCGATTTATCACTGATGATAGTTGCGGCAGTATTATACGAAGTAGCTTAAGTTATAACAAGTGAATGTTGTAATGCAGTCAAATGAAAAAAAGGTAGTTTTTGAGAGGCTTTTTTTTATCTTGCAGGCCTATGTTGCGACCGGGGACTCATTTGACAAATCTGGAGGCTACGGGGCTCAAGGAGTGGCAGGATCTTTCATCGAGTCACTTGACGGAGATTTCTTCAACGTCGTTGGTCTCCCGATTCAGCCCCTGAGCGCATGTCTGCGTAGAATTGTAGAGGCGAACTTTTAAAAGACTAGTCGAGGCCAACTTTTAAAATTTATTTTTTTATAGTGTTCCATATTTTTTCCAAATCAATCAGTAAATGGACTAAATGTACTCTTTCCTTCATGGAATTTAAGAGAGGTTATTATAATTTTGCTAATTTTGAGAAAGTTAGTAAAGCTGTCCTGTGAACTTTGAGCAAGAGATCTTCGAATTGTTACGTGATGCGACAATTCGCAAGAAAAGACAGCGCTAGAAAAGACAACCCGCATTAAAAGAACTCGCAATTAATTCATCTCCGCAGCTGTTGTTTTAACAACGCACTGGTGGCCGTCGCGAATGGTCCAGAATGATTGTTTGTGCTTGGCAGTCGCGCCAACTCACCGCTGCAGTCGCGTCAACGTTTCAGTCGCGCCAACATTTTGCCATCAGAGGCTAGGAATTTATACGAAATTAAGAACCGGTTATCGCCGCCCAGCGGAAACGCGCGTGTACCGCGCCCACCCGTGACCTTAAACTTAAACTTATAATTTAATTTTCAAATTTTGGGAGTTGTCGCTTTCCTTAAAATTTGCAAGTTGTCTTTTGTTGCGAGTTATCAATTTTTTTGTTGCGAATTGACGCGGTACCAATTGGTATCATGAAATCTGAAGTTTTCACGACATTTGAAATAGATGTGTCTTAACTAGAAAAACCAGCATAGATTAAATTTAGACATGCGAAGGTTAAATAAACAATTATTGTCAAATATAATTGTTACATTCAGTTTATTAAGTTTGTTCAACTCGAAATTTAATTTGATTTCAATTTTGAAATGTGTTTTATTCTTGGTGTGATTTTTGTGCTCAGTCGTCTGTTGATTCGCTCATCAAGTATTGCTGACACAGTCGTAAAACCCCAAGTTGAAAATGTTACCTGGACTTCTCAAACATTTATCATTCCAACAGGGATGTTATTTTCTAATTTGGACTCTGCAACATCAAGTACAAGTCGAAGGAGTTATTTATTTAGTCGTCAAAGTATATTTTTGAACTGCATGTTTATTAACTGTCGTAAAAGTATATTTTTGCGGTAGATTTTTTCTACAATATTTAATTCCGCGTTTCGCAAGTACAGAGATAAAAAACACTGTTTCCTAAGCTTTCTAATTTTTGTTATGTTTTTTAAATGACATTCAACTTTTCGAAAAAAGGGCGAAAAAAACAATAAGCTCTGTATTGCTTTTGGAAATGTCATTGGTATAAGCATAACAGCTCCGACTTGTACAATGAATAGAATCAATTGATAATCCGCGTTTGAGCCCGAATATACTTCAGGATAGCAATCGGAGGAACTACCTGGTGCAATCCCATTGGCGGAATCGCCACGAATCTTATGAGTCGTGCGGGAGGTACAGTCGTTTTTACTGCCTGCACGCGTACGAGAGTTCAAACGCAGAAGTAGTGGCATATGATTACGTTACCAGGCAAAACATGAGAAACGTTATAAACCAGTTAAAAGAATAATTTTTTGTCAGTCGCCCAAATACAGTCTGAAATTATTTGGAAGATTTATTGGAAGAATCATTTGGAAGAATTATTTGAAAATATTTGATTTTATTGATGAAAGCTGCTACCTGAATTAAGTGTTTGTTAGCGCCAAAGGTTTGGTTTTAGCCGCGAAATCTTATATTTTGGTTAAAACTGGCAGACGACTGCTTGTTAAATCGATGTCCGCATGGCGAATCTCATAGTTAGCTAATATACTGAATGTTAAAAATGATGAAAAATTCGGATAGTGCGTTGACAAATTTTAATGGAGACGTACAGCTTTTTTGTGCAGACAACAAATTTTTCTTATTTGCGGTTTAATATTTTGGCTTTAGACAAATTTTTTGTTGCTTCTACAATGCAGATTTTTTTTCTGGTTAAAAACGCTTCAAAAACTTGATTTTCTCTCTGTTAGATCCGGATTAGCTAAATGATTACTGTGTTCCAGTCAAGTGTTAATGGCTTGTTCGTATTTTGGTTTTCTTGATATCTGTTATTCAAAATTTGTTGTAATCCTGGTGGGAATTGTTTGTTTGTGTTTTAGATTTTTTGATATCTGTTATTCAAACGTCGTTGTAATCCTGGTGGGAACGTTTTAAATTGTGGTATGCTTGAAATGGAAGGTGTGGAAGGTAGAGAAAGTGTTGTTGGTAAAGAAGATAATGATGTCTCTGATAGAGTTTCAGGTGGGCCATTAACCAGATTTGGTTCACCGTGTGGATAATGGTGGGTCAACCAATGTGGAAGACGCTGTGAGGGTGTTGAAGGGTGAAATGGTTTATCTTTTAATTGTTCGGAGGTTGCGGTAGAATCCATATCTGTTGGTAAAAGTGGGTGGTTCATATGGCTGGGAATTTATAGTTGGAAAAGTAGATGTGTCTAATACGTTTTCAAAATGAAATGGAGAATCCCAAGAGTCGATACCACTTGTTTCAAAGAGGTGATTCAGAAAGTGATTTCACTTATCCGAAATGTCCTAAGAATAATAGTTTTCTCTAAGGCTTTACTAAGTTCGTTTCATTTGATTGCATTGAGGGGGGTTGGAAATTCTTTGGTGTTGGTTAAGGATAGTCTGGTTGTTTTGGTATTTGGTTGTTACTTCTTGTTTTTATTTATTGGTTAAACAGGGGCTTTGGTGCGTACTTGGGCTTTAGGCTAATTGATTTTGATAAAACTTTTTTTAGGCTAATTAAGCTATTTTTTTAAAAAATTTTGGAGTTTGAGTTTATACTATTTTGTTGATTTCGGAAGGGGTTTACATTTTGACATGATTACTTTTTGTCATCAAATATGAAGGTTGTGCTTAATTTTGATCTGGAGTTGGAGGTATAGTTCTAGTTTTAGATCGGATAGAGTCGATTAAATGACAAGTGTGAATTTTTCAAAATTTTCGACTGGTGTGAATGTGTGAATGTTGTCATTTTATAGTGGTTGTAATTTTAAAATTACGTTCTTGCTCTAGCTTTTAAAGGTGTTTTTGTTTGTCCTTCTAATGTGATTTATCTAGGGCTGCCTTCATACTTTGTTTGTAAAATTTGGTGGTGTTTTCTAAAACCGTTAACGTTCGTTTTTTGTTTGCGATTGATTGAAAACATCGTCTAGATGTGTAATTACATTTTAACTTGAAAAAGAGGAAGAATTATTTTACTCGTAAACGCTGAAAAAGTTGCTAATCCTATGGATGTTTCATAAAATAACCTGTTCGAATCATTTCGTTGTTTTCCGATAACGAATGGTGATTGATCATCCAGAGGCATTTGATTACATGTACTATTTATGCTGGCAGTGCTGTAGTTTTTTCATTAATCTTAGTTAAAAATTTTTTATCGGTTCAATTCGCCAGTTAGATTTAGATTTGTCAATGATTGAATATATATTGCTGGCGTCAATTACTATCTTTAGTGGTTCACCTTTTGCGAATATGATACCTGGGTTTATAAATGTATTGACTTTTAACTCTTGGCTTATGTTTTTCTGATGAAATTGTTTCGTAAGGTTCAAAAATTTTTTTAATGTTTTATGGCTTCATCTTGTAAGTCTATTGGTACTTTAATTGCGCCTTGTTTCTTAAAAAATGTGTCTGGTTTTAGTGGAAGTTGTTACGGAGATTGAGATTTTCCTTTATCAAGTGTAATCTGGCATATACGTTTGAATATTTTACTAATAATTTTGCTAATTGTACTTGAAAAAATTTGTTGTTGTGCGTACTTGCAAAACTGTATTGTGGGTTCGAAATATGGTGTTGTTTTTAAAGTAATCTACAATTTTTTTTTTCGGTTCATTAGTTATAATCTTATGGATAATTCTTAATATAGTATTGTAGATTGAAAAATATGTAAAAGTTTTAGTTAAGTATTTACTCTGTATACTCTTTCTGAAAGAGGTGGTAGTGTGATGTTTGATTAACAGTATTTCGGAACTCATAACGGAAGAGTTATTGCGTATGGTGAATTGTTGTATACATGTTTTTGATGTTATCTGGGTTTATGTTTGTACATATTTTTGTTGTTTATACCGTTACGCAAAAAAAAATATGAATCTGACCGAATTCAAGATCAGACATAACTAGTTTTGGTGTATTTTGATTGTTTTGGTATTGGTGTATGTGAGATATTGGACAATTTTAATTGTAAATTCTTTGAAAAGTGTTAAGGAAGCATGATTTTTTGGTGTATATTTATCATTAATTTGTAATTTACTACTCATTATATTTTTTATTGGTATATAGATAGTAATAAATGGAACTCCTATGATGTTATGTTTTTTGTTTGTAATGTGGATTGTATCTAGAAGTTTTGAAAACAACTAATTTTTTTTCTTACATTTGCATGTTGTGTTCTTTTCGTTGTAGTGCTGATGCGTAAAAATGTTTCATTTGAATCTAAGATGGAGACGTAACTATAATTTTTTTTTCAAAAACACCATTTGTGGATATTAATTTTGCTCTCTGTGAATTTTGATTTTATTTGTTTTGATGTATTCCATCAAAACTTTTGAAAAACTTATTTTTATGTCATTTGCTTGTATTTATTGAGTTCTTTTTTCGATTTGGTTTGTTGTGATCAAGTATCTGATTTTTGATTTTTCTTCTGGGAGTTCATTTTTGCATGGACTATAGCTTTTTGAAATAAATTTGTTATGAAATTGTAACAAATTGGTACTTTTTCTCGTGATGGATCACTATCTGGTTGTATGACAAATGGTAGAATAGAGTCATCCTCAATTTTTTCGTTGTTTATTTTAATAATTTTTTGCGAAGTGGTATTATTGTTAATGTAGAATGCTCATTGTTTCTTATGAGTTGATTGCAATAACTTTTTTGGACTGGTTTTAAGGTACTTTTGGTATGATCTAGTTATTTTTATCCTTCGTTCACTTCTGAAAGATGATGTTGTCGCTTCGGAGTCAGATAAATGTCTTTCGTCTAAGTTTTTTGTTTGATGTGTTGTTTTTGGATTTTTGAGTTGTTGCGTTTTACGTATTCCTGTAGCACCTGGTTCGAAAATTGCGTTTGTTTTCTTGATAGAGGATTTTTTAATATTTGTTTTTGTTTATAAGTGATGTTTTTTGTTGTGAGTATTTTCGCTTTAAAATACTCTACTCTTTGTTTATGTAGTGTTTTTACGAGATCGTATCGAGAATTTTTAATGTGACAATTGTGGATGATTTTTAGTTTGCATGTTCCCTCTATTTGATATTGACAACAGTGTTAGGATAAAAGTTT